TTCTCAGTAACAGCCCGGAGTTAGGAAGTTGGCGGTGTATCACCCCCGTGCCTCGGAGAGCACGTAAAACCGTCGGTCCTGCGCCTTAACTCTCACCGGTCGTGTCTCGTGTCGTCCCACCGGAGTATGAGAGTGACAGAAATTGAGAGTGCGCTTGTGTCTGCGCGTATACTTGTGCACTATTTTTCTTGGCCGCCGTTGGCCGAAATGGATCGGGGGGGATATTAGACCACTATGACTAAAAGTATAAGAGAGACAAGTGTATAGAAGATATTTTAAAAATATATCATATCGGTTTCACTAGTTGAAATAATACATTCAGCATGTGGAGTGTTATGTTTTATATTATTTATCAAAACAGAGTCAAAAATCGGTTGTAAACATGATACTACAATTTTATTAACAAAAACTATAAAATGACAGTTTTATCGGTCACGAGTCCAATGCGATCTACTGTTTATATGTTTGGTAATTCGGCTAAAATATTTGCGTTGAAAATTTTTAATGATGTAGGAGTTTTTAATCACGTAAACACTTAGATATTCCGTAGAAGGTTGCCCGATGATAACACCTTTGTCCTGAGCAATTTCAGGAACAATTTGAGCGCTTGTGTCACAAAAGGGTTCATCGACAAAAAACCTCGCCAATTGGTCTTATCTTTGGACCTCCGAAACTTCTTATAACTAACTTCATATATCTCTGTACACCTATAACGTTTTACGTTATAGGTGTACAGAAATATTAAAAACACGTTAAAAATTACTCAGGAAATAAACTACCTGTTTGCCAAATCTAAGACGTATCCGTTAAAACATACCATTACGAGATGTTATTGTGAAAATATATATATTTTACTAGACAATTTTTTTAATATATCCGGTAGGTACCTACCCAATGTCACGTTTTATCTCAATGGTATATTACTACTTTTTTTTGTATGACCAATTTTAGTAAACACAAGTGAATATTCACTATGAATGAGTAACCAGCGTCTCAGTAACCTAACTGGTAAAACATTACTAATCTATAAATCTTGGTCACGTTATACTATCTTATACTAGCAGACCCGACAGACGTTGTTCTGCCCGAATATGGCCATCACAAAAATCCTAGAATTCGACTGCAGCGACACCTACGTTGTCCAGTAGTGAATTTAAACCATATTAGAATCAACTCAAACACACACAACAAATTTCATCAAAATCGGTGTAGCCGTTCTAGAGGAATTCAGTGACATACGTACAGAATAATGACTTATGTATATAAATATAAAAAACATTAATGTATACATAGTACACACATATATAACCGACCTATATGTTGATATTATTTGTTTTGATCAAAAATGTTACATAATATATTCATTATACTACATAAAACCTTTTAATTTTCCAAGATGAAAAGTAGACGATTTGTTATTGTCATGTATGAACTATATTACTGTAAAGTTTTATTAAAATCCAATCAGTAGTTTTTGTGTACTAAGCCGTATAAGTTGTTATAGTTTTCTAACTATCCCACGGGAACCATTTAATTTTCCGGGATAAAAAGTATCTAAGATGTTGCCTAGGGATATAAGGTATTATCATACAAAATTTCATTTAAATCGGTCCAATAGATTCGAAGATTAGCCCGTACAAACAGACAAACAGACAGAGAAACAAAAAAATTGAAAAAAATCTGGATTTGTTCTATTTGTCTTCTTACATCCCGGTTTTTAGCATTTTTTTGCTATGTACAGACATTCGACATTTACTGTTTTACTACAGTATAGATTAAATCTACATTTTGAAAAAAAATACGATATATTTATTTTAAACCAGAATCAAATCTATGGTGACATAAAACACTGCCATTGCATTATTGGGTCATTCAATGAATACCGTAATTTATAACGTGTCTGCAACAGTTTAAATTGTTTACTTTACATAACCATAAATCCTTTAATTCAATATATCAAATGTAAATACTATTTATATGTACTACTAGAAAAACTCACGATTTTATTCTTACCTACGCATTTCTAACCTTTTTTTTTCTTTTTTTAACGTTGGGAAATGCATTTACGCACGAAGTATGGGACTCACCGGCAAAGCCAGTACTACCCACTAAAACCCAACAAAGCCTTCCCCCGTCTTAATGAGGTGTCGCAGGATCGCTTACGCATTCAACTATGACGCCCCGACGGCAGGTCTGCCGAAGCAGACCGCAACAGCCACGGGGTTGCTCCAAGGTCCACTCTGCTATCAGAGAAGTACCAGGAGCAACCCGCATGGTACACCGCCCTCCGAAGAGGGCCACCTCCCACCGCCCACCGAAGTGGGCCACCTCCCTGTGCGTTTCTTGGCTTCACGCCGGCTGTATTGCCGGGCGCTACTGAGCCCCCCCACCACGACAAGGTGAACGCATGTTTGGGGGCGCATTTCTAACCTAATTAACTTATTTTAAACTTTTTTGTCCGTCTAGAAAATTAAACCCTTTATTAGAAATATCTTAATACGACCCTTGACTACCTGCTTAATCGTCCCTTATTCCGTATAACCCTTTTTATTTTCCTTTTTCATTACTTAATGGGTGCAACCCCAAAGAAAATGGCAAAAAACCTTTGTCTTTGACAAATATTGTGGTATTTTTTCTCCCTGATTCCCATTCCATCACTTAATGGTTTGTTAGTACTCTTGGTGTAAACTTCAAAGTACTCTAAGAAAGTAATTTAAAAATTAAAAAAAAAAGATTCATTGGTTTAGGCTAGACATTGATGTTAATAAAACAGTTTTGTCTTTTATATAAATAACTTAGTAGGCGTCCTCGAAATATTCTGTAGGCTCTATATATAAAAACTTGATACGATTATATTTATGAAATGTCAATTAATAATATCACTATATTATAAACATATATACATGTACTAGCAGTACTCGCGGCTTCGCTCGTGCTAAAATACCCAAAAAATACTCTAAAAAGGTAGATTACAGACAAATTTTCATCCCATATTTTACCGCCTAAGGAGATGAATTTTTAAAAATGCTGATACACGTATTTACTTAATTGTATTGAAGAGAATACCAAGTTTCAAGTAATTCTGATCATACATAATTTTTTGGGTTGTAATATAACGAGTTTTACCATGGAAATGAGATAATCTTCCGCAGTAAAAAGTAGCCTATGTCACTCTCCCGCCTTCCAACTACCTCCACAAAAAAAATCAGGCCAATCCGTCACTCCATTTCGATGTAAAAGAAGGACAAACAAACAAACAAACAAACAAACAAACAAACAAACAAACAAACAAACACACTTTGACATTTATAATATTAATATGGATGTATCATATTTTTAACTTGGATCATGATAAAATAAAGTTCACGGAAAAAAATTAAGTGAATCTGATCAATGTTTAAAATCACAGGTACTTACGATCGATCAATAAAGTACTAGATACACAATCCTATGCAAAAGTTCTCTTATAACTTTAACCGATTGTGTTTAGGTAATTATTCTAGTTGAAAAAAACACAACAATATAAATTGAACCTTAACCACAATACTTAAAGTTGTTTTACATTTTTTTTAAATTAAAAGCGCACTCAAATGTTCAAATGAGCACTCATTCGGTGAGGACTTTTTTTTTGATCGACGGTACTCACTCAATTTGCATATATTTTTTCGTGTAGGTTTTGCGATATTTTTACTGATTTTTTACTGATTTTATGTATTTTTTTATTCTTTTTTAATTAATAATAATAAAATTTCAATGGTCTCGTTTCAAGACAAAATTCGGCTTGGACAGTGAAATATTTTTTTGTGATTCTAACGTCAATGGTATTTTTTAAATAAAAATAAATTATTAACACTATAATTATTTAACTATTTTTAATTATTTCTGTAAATAGTATACAAGAAAGTTTTACAATTTTTCACACTGCTCTGCACGTCTGTCTGTTTGTTTAATTAAAAAAATATATTATTAATAAATAATAGTACATTAAAAGTTAATATATTATTAAAAATATGGCCAACCCGCACTTGGCTAACGTGATGGACACTGGCCTGATCCCCTCGTACTGAAGGGAGGCCCGTGAAAATATATTAACATTAAATTATTTTCCTATTGAGTCTTGGAATGTGTATTGTTCTTAGGGATGTTAAGGATTTTAATACAACATATAAAAAGTTAGTAGGTTTAAGTATATGTAAAATGTAATTTTTACTTTTTATAATACCTTAATTCTCTTTTATTTCCAAATCGTAATAAATTCGAAGAAATATTAAATAATGGGAGTAATTAGGTCCACCATCTACGAATATATTACTCAAAATACAATCATACATAAAGTAAAATAAATATTAAGTCTTTTAAAAATCAAGAAATACTAGTAAAATAATCATTTATAGTAACTCAATAATATCAAGTTTATATTTTTATGAACGTCGAAAATATAAGAAGTAAAATTATCATACATATTTATATTTTATTATATACTAGCATTGCCCGCGGCTCCGCCCGCGTTCAGATGACCAAAAACCAAATTCTTAGGTTTTACATATTAGTACACTCTTACATTGCAATTTTTGTATTTTTTCTCAGAAAAGAGATATTTTCCCGAGGTGTAAAGTGTCCTATATGTTGACCCGGATAACCAGCTATCACCATAGGTACCGAATTGAAACAAAATCCCTCCAGTGGTTTTTCTGTGATACGGTAACAGACAGACAGACAGACAGACAGACAGACAGACAAAAATTCTAAAAACCATAGATTCGGCCTCTGTATCGATAATAATGTTTATTTTAATAAGATTTTCCAAAAAATATCTAACGTGCAGATTCTTCTTAGTTACAATTTTATTATATGTTATATTATAGATAGATATTATAGATCTCAGACCAATAAAAATTTATTGGTATGAGGTATAAATATATTATTACAGATATACATATTTATTATATTTTATGTTATTTCTAATATCTTTCTCTTTATAATTTTAGGATAAATCTTACCCAACATCGTCACATTTCACAGCACAATATAACAAAACAGTAAATAGCAAAAACTTCATTATAACAGGGAGAATTCACAAAATGTCATACTTTGTGAGACAGTACTTAAAATTTATCCCTTCACTTATTTTTTCGTTTCTGAACAATATTTTATTTTCACGATGTATTTATCGTAACTTTAACCAGAGTTTCACACATTGTGTGCATTCAATGCGCGCTCGTTAGCGACTAAAAATATTTACAAGTACGTACGAATTAATACTACCAACAGGTTATATAGTCTAAGAGATGGCATTAAATACCTAAACAAATATTTATAAAGCTAAAGAGATTGTTTGTTTAATATTTTGTTTGTTTGAATCAACTAATCTGTGGAAAAGCCAGTAAGATTAAAAATAAATCTACGCAAAAAAAATACATAGCCTAAGTCATATATGTACATAATCAAACATGCATCGACTACGCGAGTGGAAGACAAAAGCTTTAAGCTACTTATTATAGAAATTGAATTACATACAGTATATTTTTACAAGTTCTTTTTTATTTAAATGTTATTATAAAATAATAATTATTTGTTGTAATGCAATTAAATATGTGAAGTATATGACTATAGTACTCAAACGCTTCGGCATGTAGCGAGTTGTTTTATCTTATTATTACTGGAGGTCAGATATGATATATTTATTAAAATTTCTTATTACTAGATCACGCAACTGGATTAAGTATTCAAATATGACCCACAAACACTTCTACTGTAAAGAAAAATCTAATGCTTGAACTTCGTTTATACGGCAGTGCTGCGGCAATATGCATATTTTACAAAACTTACTTTTTTTGCTTGTATTAAAGATTCATCATTTTATTTATTCTTGCATTATAAATGATAAGAAATTGTTATACACGCCATGCTCGTTTGCTGCCAGCGATATGTGCTTTTTCATGGTATCTAGAATTGCGTGTTATGCTAATCAGAAGTACACATAGGTAGGTACATACAATGTTTTGTTAATTCATGTAGTTAACCTATAGGGAAATTGTATCTATATTTCACTTTCTAATATAGGTAAAACCAGTCATATATACCTAATATCATAATAATCGTCAATAATAAAATTAAATTTAAATAAAACTATATTTTTGATTTTTTCGCGGTTTTATTTAAATTTTTTGTTACGTCACGAAACTGACGTGACTGAAATCACTGAATTGACATGGTCATAGAAGATACCAAAATTTATGACGTCTCAAAAGTTACAGTCAATAATCAGTCAGTCAACCCACAAAAATCATACAACAATTTAAAAGAAAAGAAAAATGGTAACAAAGGTGCTTTATTTAAAAAAAATCGTCTTAAACATAAAACCGCAAAATATTGTTAAATATTCGAATAAATCTATAAAAGCATTGTTGACAATATTTATAATATGAATTATGTATTTTTGTTTCTTTTCAATATTTATTTTACCTTTCTAACGTTCAAAGTAAAAGTTTGAAATAAAATAGTGCAATAAAGAATACCTATGTTATGAATTAATTTCCAAATTACAATGTACGGCGTGACTGTTGGTGTCGATTTTAAGTACGAATGTATGTTGAATTATAATTCCTCTGTATGGTAGCAATGTCTTTGTTACTTTAGTTGGAATAGTAGACTCGTAAAGAATACGTTCGTATCATATATTTTTTAATAATAAATGTTCTCAATATTTGTATAGTGAATAAAAACTTTTTAACAAAAAAATAAAAACCGACTTCAAACAAAAGCACTAAAAAGTAAAAAATAACTGATTGGTAGTTTTCATTTACTATACATACCTAATCAAATATTTTCGAAGTCGGTGTGCTTTGCTTTGTATGCGCTGGCACCGATTTCGAAAATCTTTGATTAGGTATGTATAGTAAATGAAAACTACCAATCAGTTATTTTTTACTTTTAAGTGCTTGTGTTTGAAGTCGGTTTTTATTTTTTGTTAAAAAGTTTTTATTTTTCCCTTTTTAGTGTAGACAGTAGTAGCAAAGTAAAGATTCTAACGTGTTAGGATTGTCAAATCAAACAAAATAAGCCCAAACTCAAAGTATCTACTATTAGCCGTTGAAGAGTTCCACCTAAAATAGAAATACTTGCAAAGTTTCAAGTCAATATGACAATAGAAGTAGGTTAAATTCATCATTAGTTGTTTTTTCACCCTTAGGGGTGGTATTTTTTTTAAATTTAGATGGGACCAATTTGGAAGTATACCCTTTCAAACAAAACAAAAATTGTCCAAATCGGTTAATAAATGACGGAGTTCTGAGGTAACAAACATAAAAAAAAACAGTCCAATTGAGAACCTCCTCCTTTTTGGAGTCGGTTGAAAATATCTATACATACTATGATAAAATTCTAAATGAGACGAATTTGTACATTAAATATTTATTGAAATACCTTATTGAAATAGTATTTTTTTTTTGTTGAAATTTGGTATGATGATAGGTAGTTATCCGGGTCAACATATAGGATACATCAGGTGGCATGCGTAAATGCATTTCCCGACAAAAAAAAAAAAAAAAAAAAAATAGGATACTTCTTACTGCGGGAAAATATCTCATCTCTGAGAAATCTATACTAATTACTGTTAAAATGAAAAATAAATAAAAATATTGATTTTATTCTAAAATCCTTTTTTTTTCAGATTACTGCAATATTATTAAAAGTCAGATGACATAAAAAGGGCAAAACTGAGTCACACAAGCCTAAGTTAAACCTTTAAAATATTAAAATCTTTAATGGAAAAAATTGAACGGAAACTTACTAGTTAAGTCTTATAAGCGCCATGTTGCCATAAATATTGATGAAACCAAATGATAAATCTTCCGTACCATGTGGTAAGTATACCATTAATTTATTACATGTGTTATGTAAACAGAACAATTAGATCCCGGAACAGCTATATGGTTAAATGGGTTTAATTAAATGTATACGCTAGAATTAAACGCCATCTATGATTTACTCGTATCATATTGTGTAATGTGAGCACTGACATTACACAAAGACAGTCCTAGTAGGTATATCAACTGGCAAGATTGTAATATTTTTTTATTTTAATCCCTCTACGGCCGCGGACACGCCGTCGTGTCAGTTAACAATAGATTTCTTAGAATTTTAATTATTTCTAAGAAATTTACCTACAGATACTAGTATATACTAGTAATAACGTATAAACTGTGTTCCATAGACAAATTAAATAAACTAAAAAATCATGTCGATTACTTAAAGCGATGTTGCATGTAAAACGGGCACATAAACAAATATTATTGTGACATTAGTTGTCTTGTTAAATATCTCTATACTAGTAGATAGTGAAAAAGTTATGTATTTCAAGTACACTGACTAACTACCACGTAGGTTTAGCTGATCTGGGTCCTTGCCCCCTGGGTTTGAGTCCAGGGGTGGGTTATTTTCAGTGATTGGTTTTTTCTGTTAAGAAATTCGTGCAGTTGTATATGTGTGGGTACATTCTTGTCCATTATATAACTACTGTTGAAATGACTAGTGCTGAGTTGGCCGAAATTATTATTAAGTGAAGTTACTAAATCTAACATTGTGTTTTCTCCGGAAATGATTACCATTATCAAAATACTTGAAACACATATTATTGATCTCCTTTTTATATAAATTACATATTACACTATACTATGTGCACTCACAAAAACTTATATTAACTTACATGCGGTATTTGCAGTTATTTTTTTAAGATTGATAATTTAATAGGTGAATTATAATGTGACAAGGGATATTAATCTCGTTACTGTAAGTGTTAATATGTAAAGAGAATAAAGATTTAATACAGAAATAAATACTGCGTTTTCTTCTTTCTCTCTCTCTCTTTAATACAATAACTTCCTTTAGAATAACGTTATATATTAGAATTTAGAAGTATTTTATGTCACACTATTTATTTTGTCTATTGCTTCATAGACTTCAGTGTGACTTACTTAAGCTATATAAAACCACATGGATCTCTTGCTTTGTTGCTTAGCGAGAGAAGACTACATTACTGCATTTAATATTGATTTATTAAAGTACCAACAAAATTTACAATATTAAAGTACTTAAAGCTAGATAACATAAGATTAACCACGCTAATTGCACTTTTAATTAAAGGTAATTACAACTTGCTGCTTTTACATCTATCAAATTAATAGTGTGGTATACAGTAACTCGATATTGATTAACTACATTAAAAACATATCAATTTCAAATAATATCAAATATTTTAAACAATTTAATACTGAATTAAACAAAATTATAGGTGCTACAAGCATTACCTTGAAACAAAGAAAATTAATAACAAATAGAATAATATTTAAACAATTTTGAATTATTGAATAACAGAATGTTTAAAAAATAAAAGATAGCAAATTCATAAAAAGCATGCAATCAAATTATGTACAAGATCAAAAATAAAATTCAATACTGGATACCCTCAAGATAGCAACCAATTTTTTTTTAAAAGGCCTTAAATTTGTCATGCAAAAAGTCTATTTGTTTATTTTCCGAAGAGATGTAATTATAATTTCTAGTTGTTCTGTTCAGTAGCGCATTTTCTCCTATATAGAACAATTTAGACGTAAAACAAACTCTAGTGCATAGTAAAAAACATGATTACTAATGTAAATTTTTGAGTACATCTATGTTTTTTACGAAAATGTATTCAGAATTATCAGACTTACGTATAAATACTCGACCGTTTTTAACCCAAACATAACGATACCCAATTTTTTTACATTTCATCCTTGCTTCAGCGTGTAATGCTTTAATAACCGGGGATAAGTGTTCACATACATAGACCGGCTTTTTCTCTCCACTAATTCCTAGATGGCTTGTGTTGAGTTTATCCTTGTTGGAAGTTGCTTTCTTGTTGAATGATAAGGTAGCTGCTAAGAAAGTATCTCGCAACCTAGGCGTAGTAAATTTAGCTAATATAGAGCGAGGTCGAGTACTTTCTTTGTTCATTTTCATAATCCTTGTGCAGTATTGCACGAGATTGTGAAAATTAACAAAGAATATTGCGAAAAAGCAATTTGTTTAATGTTTGTTAAAATATTTTCGTTTTTAAATTTATGATTTTAGTAATGTATGTATGACTTGCATTATTTTGAATCCTTTATTACGAACCATTCTATTTGTTAACAATTTTACTTAAAAATATTACGCATAGTTTTGTAGTAAATAAAATCAAATCTTATAAATAAAATCTTCTACTGTTTTATTATTTGTTTATTTTTTCAATATGAGTTTTCGAAATAAGTATTAATTTGAAAAAAAAACACTGAATTTTACTGACTCTCTCTAATTACGTCATACCAGTCAGCAGTCGTAATAATACGTCATACCAGTTTAGTTTTCAACGAATAAAAGTATTTATATTATAAAATAAATGCGAACCTTTATATATGTGTATATATTTTTGTTACTTTTTCATGCATAAGCGAATAGAGTATGATATTTTAAAATTACTTCCATTTTGATATTTCCGTCTCTTACCATAACCATGTAACATTGAACTAAACTACCTAAAATACATAGTTAATATTTTTAAGATTATAATGATTGGAATATTAGACTTTTTCTATTATTATTACTTTTCCAATTTTATACACAAGAAAAATAAAATTTTTTTTACAGTTTTTCAATGGGTGTAATTGTTTACTTTTAGGTTCTATATATTATGTCAAAGGGAATAATCGAATCCAGAATCATCCATATAATAGACTCTGTCAATCTCATAGTAAACATAATATATTGATTACAACAGTCATTTATTTTATAACATTTCGTACTAGTTCTTGTTACACAGATCATTTTACTGTTACTAAAATCGTATTTACATACACTACAATAAAAAAACAATAAAATACATTAAAATCAATAAACAAATTTAAAAAAAGCTGCTATCTCCTCGACTATAAAGTAAAACCTGACGCAGCATCTAAGCGTAAACACTTGTAATTAGTCATTTGAGTGAGTAATGAGCCATTGATCAATCGGAAATCGACGTCATTAATCCATTATTTTTATATATACTCATATATAATTAGTACAAACCAACTAATATTATAAAGGCGAGTTTGTGTGTGTGCTTGTCACTTGACTTGGCTTAACAGATTTGAGTGAAACTCAGAATGCAGATAGCTTACATTCTTAATTAACAATTAGGCTATGTTTGAACAAGTTTCTTTAATTCAACTTTAAAATATTTTATACAGCATTGAATTATTACAATATTTATTGAACGTCCAGAGTCTACTACCAGTTCGGAAAGAAGCCTCAGACCTGAGAAGAACTGGCTAAAGAAACTCAGCGGAACTATTATTATTATATTAGGCTTAGTATACTTTTTATTATAGAAACATGTTTACATTAATATAACTTTTAACTTTTTTGTGTTTTTAAAGATGTTGTTTTCCAATTTTTTAATGAAACTGATGTTTTTTGGGCAAACCATTATATAAAATAAAATATATTATAAAGAAATACAATACATACTTATTATTGTTTCGTCAGTTCTTTCAAAGTCAAAAAAAGAATGTAATATTTTTGACTTTGACTTTCTTTCCCGTGATCATGATCGCGTCGGGAACCAAAAATCAAAACGCCCGCCGAGCCGCCGCCGGCGGCTCATAATTTTATTTATTATAAATTTATTTTATAACAAACATAATAAAATTATATTATTATAAAAAATCATATATTATACAATGTTTGCTAAAATTATAATACTTGGAGTATGTATCTATGAAATACACGGTTTCTAACAGTCTTTTTTGTATTAATTCTTACATAGTGTATAATACGTCCTGTATTCCTTCGTCAACTTGTTTTCATATTTTTAGTTAGTTTTTATGCAGTCGGTTTTTTTTAATAATAAACTAGCGCTCTAACTCACCCTCGCTTCGCTCGGATTTGTCCCTAGGGTATGTATACAACTTCCCTATTTGAATCGGATATTATTAAATTTTTCATTGGTTTTAATTTTTGCGTGGGGACCCTATTATTTTTCTAAAATAAAAGTAGCCTAAGTTACTTCTTATTACATCAGCTATCTGCCAGTGAAAGTCCCTTCAAAATCGGCTTAGCCATTTCAGAGATTAGCCGGAACAAACAGACAGGCAGACAAAAATTGTAAAAAATGTTGTTTTGGTATATATATCGTGTATACATCCACATGTATTTAGTAAAAAGCTATTATTTTGACATTTCAAACAGACACTTCAATTTAATTTATCTGTATAGATTTGAGTACTGTTACCATCGTATAAATATTGACAAATATTGACATTACTATTTGTACGATACTAACGTCACTCAATTGTTTTGGCTTCCCGGAACCTCTCCACTAACACTTAAACTTTACGGTTTGGTATTAAAGTTCAAATTGACTTTTAAGTATTATTACGAATCTTTTGTTTAGGAGTATAGAAAAGTGTTGTTTTTAGACTTTGTCAGGCAATTTTTTAAATTTTTCTCTCCGTAAAAACCATCCTCGTACTTCAAGGAATATTCTTAAAAAAGAATTAGCGAAATCGGTTCAGCTACTTTCGAGATTTGCGCTTACCAACACATTCAGCGATTCTTTTTATATTATAGATTATTTTTTATTTAAATTGACTAGGTCACTAGTCAATTTAATAGTGCAGAACTCCAAAATAATTTTTAAATTATATTATGCCTTTACCGACGGGCACACAGAACTTTTCATAAAACTACATATAATAAATTATTTAATATACTTTAATTAACATTTGAAAATATAAACACAATGTCAATAAATACAGAAAACTATAAACGATACCTTTAATGAATACCTAATTAAAACTGTAAAAACATAATATATTGATTTCGCTCCGAACTAATATTAAAAAATTTATAATACGTATATTATTTATTATTTCAACGGTTATAAGTAATAATAACATATTATTATATATTATTTCCGGACCGTTTACATATAATCATTAGTAAAGCATATTTCAAAAGATTCTTTTTTAAAGGAAATGTGAGGTATTGAGATATATTGACTCATATGCGGGCTATCTATATTGTTATGTTAATAAAATAAATAAAATGTAACTCGATATTTAAAAGAGAAACTATTGAGTTTCTCGCCGGCTCTTCTCAGCAGAACTGCTTCCCGAGCCGGCGGTAGCTTCCTCACGGACTGACTACACTGACGCTCTGATTCAAAAGTGCTTTTACAAGTCTAATTCAATAAAGTTTACCTTAATTTCATTTCATATATGCAGTAGTACGTTTGTTAGCATGGTGTTTTTTTACTAAGCAACTGAAATATATCGCAGTATGGTATGTCATGTAAAGCTGCAAAATACTGTAAATTTCGGTAAAGAGTGCACATTGTGTCTGCGCGTACACTTGTTCATTAAAATATCTCCAGCTCAGTTAGCTTCTCTCAGTGAGATTGGCCGCCGAGGTCGAACATTGTCAGGAAGATATTACACTATCTGACCTAGTTGACCTAGCGACTTGCATCAGTACAGATGCAGATTTTCAGATCCTGGATGTGGATTCGCCCATTCGGGCCAAAGTAGTAATTATTTTCTGTACAACATACTCAGTAGCAGCCCGCAGTTGGAAAGACGGCAGTGTTTACACCCAGTGGCAGTTCTTCGGGTAGAACGTACACGTCGGTCCCTACGCCTTATGTTACACCGGTCGCGTTGAATTTTCGCCCCAAAGAAATAGAAAATGTTCTTTTGGCGCAATTCGCTCTCAGAAAGGTTGGCCGCTGTAACCGAAATTAATCAAAATATTATACGAGTACCTCATCACGTTAGTCATATGCTTGTTTCTTGCCTTTGCCACATAAATATAAACAAATAAACACACTGTAATATCTTTAAAACTAAGTATAAACGAGTATCACAATTCGTCCATTCAGCGTTTTTGATAACAACGTATGTCACGTAGTAAACAAAGTATGTTTGTAAACTTGACACCTTTATTTACATGGAAATATAATCTTACGGATCGTTTTGGAACCAAGTCGTGTGACTGAATTTTGTTGTGACCTCATTATATTTTAAACTAGATTCCGCCTCTGACATCTCTTTTTATTTCTCAACCGGAACGTTTGTTTACGTTTCTGTGAAATAAATAAAAAAAAAAGTGTAATCTAGGTTTATAAATAAAATAATCTAGATAAGTTGAAATAATGCGCTCTTAAATGATGTTTTCAGAGTTTTAATTATGATACAAAAAACCGGCCATTAGGTATTAATTATATTTTGTATTTCATATTACGAATGTTTTCATTTTATAAATTGTTTTACATATGGTATTTCCACATTTTATATTCTAGATAGATACATACTTAAATATAAAATGTAAATATTATGTACATATGTATGTATAAATGTAACGCCGCGGGATAAACTAGTTTACAAATGCTCTCGAATGACTGTTGAACTTTGAATCGTGACCGCTATAGAACGTCTTATATTTAAAAATAAATAGTTGCTCTAATTTGTATAAGTCGTTTATTTATAATATGCAAATGTACGGTGTATTGAACTCTTGGTCAAAACATTGCCGTGTAATTTCTAGCTAAACTTAATTGTATTTGTTTCGACGACGACACGTTTAGCTTATTTTATAGTGACCCTACTTACTGTGCCAGGGGTCGCGGGTTCGAGTCCCGGTGAGGGCGTTCATTTGTGTGATGAGCACGAATATTTTTACTTCAGTCATGGGTATATATTTATAATATGGATGTATTTAAAATTATATATGTGTAGGGTATCAATGCTCCCAGCGAGACTCGAACCGGTGACCGCTGGCACAGCAAGTCAAACCAAGCCAAACGTGTCGTCAATATAATAACTTAGATCCAGACTTAACTTTTCACATACTTTTACATTTATAAAATTATTAAAAATAATTGACTTAAGTATAATAAAAAATAGAAACGGCTACAAATGCTCGTAATAGGTCGTTTATTTTGAATCATCATAATTACTGTCATTCATTATTTATACATTAGTAAAAGTAACCTCTGTTAGCTCTACAGCCGCAGCTACCAGCGATAGTGACAGCTCCAGCGGCTGGCACAACGCCTCCGAAGTCTACAGCGCCGAGGATAGGCACTTGTCCACCAATGAAAGTGGTACCAGCGACTGGCATCTCACCGATGATTGCTACATCACCGATACCCTCACCTCCGTAAGCACCAGCAGCTGAGGGAATACCATAGGGGGCTAAGCCAGGGGCAGCCAGACCGAAGGGGCCCGTCGAGAGACCCATACCGTAGCCACATCCGTAGGGTCCAGCAATCGCGGCACGACTTAAAGGTGGAGCGCCACACCACTGGCTGTATACATTCTGAAAATATGAAATTAATTGTATCATAAATCTTTATCAAAAAATTCTTAATACTTTTTTACAGAAGGTTCACTCGTTAAGAATATAGAAGTTAGAAATGTATGTATGTCGGTCACTCACTCACTGCTCATTCATGATTTTTCGATATAATTTATTTAAATGTTTTAGCAAACCTTTTGGGAAAAAAATAGCTAAAAAAATGTTTAGAAGTCAAAATCAATACCTGAACCAAGCAAGCTTGCAAGCAGAGTAACACGAAAGCAAAGGTGGACATGTTGACGTGTTTATTAAAGCGATACAATGTTATGGTCTTAAGTTTATACGCTTATATACTATACTTATTCTATTTATATAATTATTTCGTAAAATTATACGTGTCAATCAAAAAATTATGAAGAGAATTAAAATTTATTTTCTTTTAATTATCTATTTAACCACAAACCGATGCAAATCAAATCTAATATATTTCGATCCCTTAAATACATATTTACCTATTAGATATTCATATTTTAAAATATTGTAGACTGGCACCGACTTCGAAAATGTCTGATTACTAGGTATCTATTCTAAATGAAAACCTCCGTTTAGTTATTTTTTACATTTTAGTGCACGTAGGTCGTTTTTTTTTAAGTTTTTAGTTTCCATTTTTAGTGTAGACGTAATAAGAGATAATTTGTAAGAAGAAAGTTTTTTAATAACATATTCAATTAAACAATTTATTTAAAAAATATATTTATGGCAGATTTTTTAAAAACCGCTCTACTGTTTTCGATAAAGTTTATATGGGACCACCTGGGAAGCCCTTATACCCTTTAAAACAAAAAAAATATCCAAATGAGTTCAGGCGTCTTTGAGTAATCGGTGAACATACTTAAAAAAAAGATTCCGACGAATTGAGAACCTCCTCCTTTTGGAAGTCGGTTAAAAATGTTTTTAATATACATATACATATTACGTTAGAAAAACATTTTCCATTGATAAATTTCTTTGAACAATATTGCCTCATTGAACAATATGTACCTATATGACATATTGTATCACTTATCACGTACAAGTTATAATAAGTATCAAAGTTTTTTTTTAATTTGTTTTGTAATTTATAAAAACAAAAAATATATATAATTATCTTGTTTATTATGGAAGATGGTTTTTTGAATTGAATTGAAGGATTTTTCTCAATTCATCCTCTAAGTGTGTAAAATAGGGAACAAAAGATTCTATAAAACTCAATCATTCTTAAAGTGAATTACACAGAAAGTGGTATTTAGCTTTAAGATAAAAAAGGCGCCTTCGAGTAATCGGTGAACATACATAAAAATAAAAGATTCCGACGAATTGAGAACCTCCTCGTTTTTGGAAGTCGGTTAAAAATAAGAAATAGGTTTATTAGATTTTTTTTAGAAAATCATCTCTTAAAGGAGCAAAAGGGAGTAATAAAGTTTATATGTTTCTAATATACAAACTAAGTCTTTGCTTGGCTTTGTGAACATGCTAGACTGACCCCAAAAAAACTGCAGTGCTACTGGTTTTGATAACGTCGTGCTTAGGTTCTTTGAAGAGTTAAGAATAGAATATAGGTTTGTCGATTCAGTGATGCAAATGGATGAAGCAGTTTACCCTCCTGTGCTTGGGGGAAATCAGTATTCATACCTCGAATACCATTAAAAACCTCTGACTACGCCTTTGAATTTAATCTGTAGTAAATCCTCCTTAAAATTTGCTTTGCAATGACCATTAATAAATCTCAGGGCCAGTCGTTAAAAGTAGCATGATAGATAATTGCTTCTCACATGGACATTTTAGCAGAACCCAGAACCAAACAGAACATCCACTAATGTGGTATACAAAGAAGTTCTTAAAATCGAATTTCTTATTCGCGACTATTTAGCGTAGACTAAGGGTAGGTAAATCTTAAGTAATTACACAAATATATATATATATATATATATATATATATATATATATATATATATATATATATATATATATTGTTATGGAAATAAACATTATTATCGGTACAGAGGCCAAATGTATAGTTTTTATAATTTTTTGTCTGTCTGTTACCGCATCACAGAAAAAGTACTGGAGGGATTTTGATGAAATTTGGTAGGATGATAGCTGGTTATTCAGGTCAACATATAGGATACTTTTTAACGCGGCAAAATATCTCATTTTTAAGAAAAATACAAAAACTACAATGTAAGAGTATACTAATATGTAAAACCTAAGAATTTGGTTTTTGGTCATCTGAACGCGGGCGGAATCGCGGGCAATGCTACTATCATATAAATGGAAATTAAAACTGAGCAATTTTTTCAGTATTTTATAATAATAATAATAATAAAGTATGTATTGCGAAAACCTAATTTTATTAAAGTGTGTAAATACAGAACCCTCGATGCGCAAGTCAAAATCATACATTTGAAAATCATTACAGCCATCAAATTATTACTTACTAGCAGCTCACCCTCGCTTTGCTCGGGTTTACCTAAATAAAAACGAACCTATCCCACGGGAGCTTTTTCCGGGATAAAAAGTGTAGCTTATGTGTTATGCCAGACTATAATCTATCTCTGTGCCAAATTTCATACTAATTAAAATTTTAGTTTAAGTAATTTTTTATGTATGATCCAATTAAAACTAGGCCGAAAAAATTAAAGCCTTAGCAACTTACGTATCGACCTGAAACAGTTATTGTCACATCACGTTTTCTTTCACAACCCTTGAAAATGAATGGAGCTGACCGATAATAATTGTAATATAAAAACTGACAATTCAGCAATTTATAACATTCTTAAGTTTATTCTCGAAGTGTAAACAAACAAACAACAAAATGTTCAAGGCTCTCTTGTATATCACCGCCCAGGTCTTACTCATCCAGGTATATAAAATTATTTACTCTAACTCTATTATGGGACGTGTGTATGTTTGTTACTCCTTCATGCCCAAAAGGCTGGATTCATTTGGATAATATTTAGTATTTCAACATAGTGGTCACATAAATAAAAATGCAGGTAGTAGCAATTATGGTGAGGATTCCAAAGTTACATTAATTCATAGAATTATGTAATACAAAATATGGTTTATTTTGCCACAATCTAAAAGATACTGCTGGTGTTGCTCGGAACAATAAATATAATAATCCTTTTTTTGCAGAACATCTCTGGTATCCCCATTGGCGCCCTATGCAATGCTCCCTGCGCATCATCTTTTGCTCCACTTTCATCTCTTTATGGATGCTATGGTTCATATAACCCAGCAACCTTAGCTGCATCCAATGGTGGAGGTCTTATCGTCACAAGTGCTTCCCCTATGGAACCTATTGGTGTATCTGTTCTATCAGAAAATGTTGTCGAAGGAGCTCTTGGAGTTATTGGAGAAGTTCCATTCTTAGGAGCTATTACTTTAGAAGGAGCTCTGCCAACCCTTGGTGCTGGTGCAGTTACTTATGGTTGCGGTAATGGAGCCGTTGCTATGGTTACTGAAGACTACGCAGATGCTTACAATGGTTATGCCTCACCTTATAATTATAATGTGTATGGTTATAACGGTTACACCGGATACGGAATAAGGTTTTGTTGATTTTATTGTGTTACAATCGATCAAATAATAAATAAATGGATATACTGAAGATTATTTCTCTTATTTTTATTATTACATCAACGTTCACGCGTTGTACATAATATGTGTTTAGTTGGTACCAAACTCTGGTCATATCTAACCACTATCGCTTGATGCATCCGATTCACTTATGGCAACGACTTTGAAAATATCTGATTAGGTATTGTATTCTAAATGAAAACCCCCGTTTAGATATTTTTTACATTTTAGTGCCTAGAAGTCGTTTTTTTTTAGTTTTTATGCATTGAACATAAGAGGGGGATCAGACCACAGTCCACCACGATGGCCAAGTGCAGGTGGGCGGACTTCACATGTCTTTCGTAAACTTGCTAGGTTCTCTCAGACATAATCCTCATAATGTTTTCCTTCACCGTAATACAAATGGTAATCATTTCTTTGTTCGCACATGAAAATATCAGAGATGCGAAACCCGGGATTTGAACCCACTTTACTCAATTTCCCAAGCGAGCGCGTTACCAATCGGCTTTCGACCACTGCTTTACATAGTCAGTGTCACAATGTTACTCATAATGGAATTAAAACAAGCTGTTTATCTACACATAAAGTCGCGTTGCATAACTAGTTTGCATTAAATATTTAACATTTCATCTTTCAGCTTTCATTCACAATATTTAATTAAAACACATTCGTTTTGACGTCACAAAGAAGGTTTCTCCAATTTATTTACAGTCAAATACAAAGGAAAATATGGCTGGAGTGTCTGGTATATATCAAATCAATTATACTTTGTTTTTTAAATCAAGTATAAGTTATAGCGTGAGTCTGTTCAGAGATATAAAAGATACAGAAAGGCGCTACCGAGATAATATAATTATCTTCTACATGCAGCGTAGAGATGGTAAATATCAAGAACAAAATAAAAGGATTAAAAAAGTACGTATATATTATAATACTAGCGGCTTGTCCTTGCTTCGCTCATTTTATTGTTTTTCTTCAAATGGCAACGCACGCCGGTAAAACAATAAAAGTTATTAACAAAATAAATAATAGTTTATAGCACTCGACGTTGACGGTAATATAGTTATCTAGTTACCTATTTGGGAAAGAGAATCGGATCAACAGTTTCAGAGATTACCCCCTACAAACGAAGTTTACCTCTTTATTATATTAGTGTAGATAATGAGCTATATAAATAAAAACGATAAAAAAATATTCAATTGATATAAAAGACAGCGCGTACGCCGTGGTCCCGAAATTATTGCAGAATAATAACGAAAGAACAACTAAACTACCATACAACTTATTTTGAACTCAAATTATAAGAATTTAAGGTTTCTTATTTTTGTTTGTGTTTTTATTGCAGTTACTTGTACTTTTTATTTTTGTCTTAAGCATTAAGTAAAGGCACTAGAAGTACAATGTACAATATGCATCGACATAAATTTGTAATCGCTTAGTGAGAGGCTTTCTGTGTGTTAATTGATATAGTCACAGCACAGTCTACGGAAATTACCTATTATGCATCAAAAATGAGAAATACTTTCAACCACAATTACTTGTACGTCCGCTGATATCCTTAAACTTGACTGTCTCATTGGTTCAGTGTATAGCATATACGACTACATAATACGACAAGCCCCTAGGTTCGATTCATAGGTTATGCAAAAATAACTTCTTCTTCTATCACGAATTCCTCATTAGGATTCCTCATTCAGGAGTTGAAAAATTGTCTGTTTTATACTTCAGTAAAGTTAAGAGAAAAGCCGATGATTCTACAGCTGATCTCTCTTCAGTCCCATGGGATTACCGTTCCCCTCGAGTATTACAGTTCAAGAAATGAAGTTAAACCCTAAGTTGACGCTATGCGCGGTAATGCACTATAATATGAAAAAAAAACTACAAGATATTTTTTAGATATCCACTCACCCATAAATGCCTTGTTTAGACTTTAAACAACTTATATCTTAATATAATGAAAGGCTACAAGCGTTTTATATAGAAATAATAGACCAAAATGGATTTTTTTATTATTGAAAAAAAAAGGAAATAAATGAAACAATATTAATAAATTAATTTATTTATTATTCATTTTTGTCTAAAACAAAATTGTTACAAAATGTTTGTCTAAAAACTGTTTACAAATCCTCTTTTAAAATTAAACGTAGAGCTTTTTTCGAGTATCTTTCAAAGTTTTTTTTTGTAATATTCAAACAGCTTTAGCCGAAGATGATATGACGTGTACTCCCTGATCATGTATGTAATTTTCTGGCTGAAATTTCTTGAAGTACCATCCAAAACTCTTTCGGGTAAAAGTTCTATTAAAAGTTGGTGATGAAGGAAGAGAATCTCCCATAGGAGATAGAGTCGATGAGTCTTCCTGAGACAAAGATATATTCGTGGGACTCATGGATAAGTTTGTTGGAGTAGATAGAAGATTTTCTGACTTAACGTCCTCTTCAAATTCCTTTAAACGACTCGCACTGCAAAGAGGTGTTTCGACTTGCTCTACTGTGTTTAAGTTGTCTATATCCACGGTATAAGCTTCTTCTTTTTTGGAGTATCTAAAAGGTAAAAGGTTATAATATAATTTTAACTGTCTGTTGAATTTGTTAACCGACTTCAAAAAGAAGGAGGTTCTCAATTCGTTTTTTTTGGTATATTTGTTAAGCGATTATTCCGCCAATAATGAATTATATTTTAAAATTATTTTTGTTTGATAAGTCAGGCTTTGGAGGTGGTCCAATATAAATTTTATCAAAATTAATTCAGCGCTTTTTGAAAAACTCAACAAAAACAAAAAATATATACACAGATGACGTTATGGTTTGTGGTTCTCTTCATTTAATTATTATATTTATGACTGGTATATTTATTTATATTACAGTATTAGCTCCGATCTTTGAAATTAGTTCTTTATGGTGTAAATATTTCAAATAAGTTTACAAATATAGCTTTTATATTGTTTTAATACCGTCAGATTTTAAATAGTGTTTTTAAAGCAACATTTACTACAGTAAAATAAATATATCACAATATTTGTTTTAATAAAGCGTCACAAAGAATTCAACTATGCTATAGTAAAATATTTATACAAATACATATTATAAAGCTAAAAAGACTGCTGTTGTTTTTTTGTGTTTCTTTGTTTGCTTAAAGCGTAAATCTCTTTAACTACTAGTGCGATTCCAAACAATCTTTTTTATTTTATAGCCTACCTAAGACTAACATAATACCTAGTTTAACATAACATTTTTTTTAATATTTACTTCAAAACGTTTTTGAATCTGTATCCCCAAATGATTTCTTTTGACAGATATGAGGTCCTGCTCTGTGTCACTGTCCCCATGTTTTTAGACGACCCTGTCAAGCAGACTACGATTTCAAATCTGAAAGATAATAAAAAAAATCTGTTATAAACAAAATGTGATTCTGAGTCTGGTGAAAAAGGATTCGATACATTATTCCCTACTTTAACATTTTGAGTGGGTATGATTTTGATTTCTAATTTTTACTTTTGACTTCCGCTTTTAAGGAGGAAAGAGAATAATGACGGCACGACCGATCGGACTTTGAACCCGCGAATTCAGTAAAAAACAGATATTAGGATTAGTTCGTCACACTACTGTTATATTGATCACATTCTGTACTGTTTTATTATTCTCTATTGACATTTTCTTCATTAACACATTTCTGTAAAAAAGAGTTCGCTTAAACTATAATTTATTTGTTCTGCTAGTTGTCTATAAAAGATTAACCTAGTTTGTGATGAAATATTAAACAGTTACGCGGTAATTAGCAAAATATTACAAAACTAGCGATTTTTTAAATTGACATAACTTTTTTATTTATGAACCGATTGAAATAAGTGAAGCTCACCCTATAAGCAATACATTAGTGAAAACCACACCTAAACCGGTTAATCTGTTTCTGAGATTAACGCGCACAAGCGCACAGACAGACAAAGATTCTAAAAATCATTGTTTTGGGTTCTCTTGCCCCCCATTAATAGCTTTTCTCAAATATCTTCCTACATAATCCTGTATTGAACAGACATCGATTAGTTACACTTTTATTATATGTGAAGATGAAAGCCGTACCTATAATCCATCATGTCTTGAGCCGAAAAGTCATAGAGTGGGCTCGCAGCATCTATGACGTGGACCACAGTGATGGGCCATAAAAGGAAAGCCCGAGCTTCCTTCAGTTGAAGCTGGTGTATGTAGTTTTGTACTACCTCACCTTCTAAAGTCCTAGATTATTAAAAGTATGCGTTATTATACATGTTTTTAATGTAGTTAAAGAGTAAGGTAGGAATAATTTTAATAAATTCTAACTTATAATTTCAGACTTTCATAATAAGAAAGTCAATGGACCTTTTCTGTAAGTAATATTGTCAGTTTTGTTGTCATTGAAATATTTTCCTTTAACAATCGGCCACTTGATTTTTTATGAAATTAATAAGTAGGCCTTTATTTATAGTTGCTAATAAATTTACTCTCATATTAATTCAGTAAAAAGTACCCTATATGTTGACTCGGATAACCAGCTATCGTTATACCAAATTTCATCAAAATCTGTCTAGTGGTTTTCTCCTGATGCGATCACAGACAGACAAAAATTCGAAAGACTATAGACTATAGTCTCTGTATCGATAGTAATGACTATTTCAATAAGATTTTCCAATAAATATTTAATGTACAGATTCAACTCAGTCGGAATTTTATTATACATGTATAGATAAGAAGGAGATTAATGTATAGACCTTTATTTATGGTTCCTAAGAAGTTTACTCTCATATTATATACGTGAACATACAGAATTAATGTTACATATAAAACTACAAAACTATCTAAAATCTAAATTAATCATACTTACAAGAGAATTAGTCAGTATCAGTAAAATAACATACCGTATAGGTTTTAGCATATACGCAGTGATGGAACTTCCGATTATATGCAGGTTTAAGTGATCCCATACTCGAAACTGAAGGCACAACTCTCCATCGCGGAGACATACCTGATAAACCGCCATAATTTTCATATTCAAATTTATTTTTACAAAAAAAAAAGTTAAAAAAGGCAAAGTTAGATAAGTAGCTTGAAGGTTACTCGGAAGAACCCTTTCTTTCTTGGTTAGGTTAGGTCAGAACACTGACCACAACGAACCCTCCCCCCAACGTGTTTTTACCTCGTTATGGTGGAGGGGGCTCAGTAGTGTCCGGCAATCCAGCCGGGCACTACTGAGCCCTTACTATTTTAAATTTCATCGTAAATAAAAATAAGTATCTGATGATACTTCAATTTCTAAATTCTAAAGAACCCCACTGTAGAGGCACAGCCTACCCATTAAGGGTACATAGGTATAGCACTAAAAAATCTCAAATTATTCACGATACTATAAAACTGCAAAACTAGTTCATAATGGCAGCCCCCGACGGATATGCTTGAGCTTATCTCGCGTTACATTTATTTTTTAAGTCGGGGGTTTTTAAATTATTTCATCCTTATTCAATTACTTTTTAACCGTCGAGGTTTTTTCAAGATTTTTAATTTCGCTTTTTATTAAATTAATAACCAAACTATAGCTTATGATCGTGTACCTAGAAATCATAAATCTATCGGCCCCTATTGGGTTTTACTGAAATTTTTAAAATATTTCTCCTTAAAGACTATCATTATTGGATTTTTACAGTAATTGTTTATGGCAATGAATAATTTAACTTGATAAGGCTCTTTGTACTGTATTTGTATTTGTCGTAGTGTCATATTTCCCTACTTTACCAGATGTTTACAAATTCGATTACCATGAGACGTACTTTTGTAAAGAAAACAGCAACATAAAATGAATAAGAATATATATATTTTTTTTGGAAAATCACTAAAATCTTTAAAATTTATTTAGCGATTACTTTGAAATTTTGACGTAAATACATAAGTGTAAACATACGACAAGAGGGCATACAAGACAATAACTAAAGTTAAAGCTGTAAATTGTAGTTAATATCTACTTAGCTGATTGAAATATACTTTCCACTAATATTATTCATGCATAATACTTTCTTAGATTTACGCGAATGTTTGACATTATTAAATAAAACTATCTTTTCGGATTATTTCGCGGATTTATTTTGATTTTTGGTTCCCGACGTTTCGAATGCTTTACAGCATCCATGGTCACGGGAGAGACTGAGGTGTTACATGTCTTAAAGATATAGTTGTTACAGACAGCCTACCCACAATTAACAAAATGAAAATTGCACCAATTACATTACAATATTTTTAACTTTAAACATTTTTATAATTTTAATTATAATTGAATATGGAAAATTATTTATTTAATTTTTGCTATTATTTTTATAATTATTACAATTTTAAAAATATTATTTAGTAATCTATATTTAGTGTTGCCATTATTATATTTATAACCATAAATAAAAATATAAAAATATAGTATTAATTATTAAAGCCATATAATTGTTCTATGTGTAATTTAAAAAAGTTAAAATTAATTACGGATAATAATTTTAATTTAGTTTGCTATTATTTAAAAACAACTTACTAAGCAACACTATTAATATATACAAAATGACAGCTTATCAGATTAATATTTTTCATTTGTAAAAGTATATATTAATAGTGTTGCTTAGTAAGTTGTTTTTAAATAATAGCAAACTAAATTAAAATTATTATCCGTAATTAATTTTAACTTTTTTTAAATTACACATAGAACAATTATATGGCTTTAATAATTAATACTATATTTTTATATTTTTATTTATGGTTATAAATATAACAATGGCAACGCTAAATATAGATTACTAAATAATATTTTTAAAATTGTAATAATTATAAAAATAATAGCAAAAATTAAATAAATAATTTTCCATATTCAATTATAATTAAAATTATAAAAATGTTTAAAGTTAAAAATATTGTAATGTAATTGGTGCAATTTTCATTTTGTTAATTGTGGGTAGGCTGTCTGTAACAACTATATCTTTAAGACATGTAACACCTCAGTCTCTCCCGTGACCATGGATGCTGTAAAGCATTCGAAACGTCGGGAACCAAAAATCAAAATAAATCCGCGAAATAATCCGAAAAGATAGTTTTATTTAATAATTATTCATGCATTTTACCTATTCTATTGTATATATCAATCCTAAAAATCTCAACCAAAATTATTTGGTTTGTATTAAACTCCAAATTATCTCATAAACACATTTTTTAAAACATTCGATTCTAGATACTTACAGTGGCTTTCTTACTGAAACCAACGGATGATACGTGCCTGTTAGGTCTCACCAACTTCGTGAAGAGTAAACTGGTCAGTCCCCCAGAGAGCGCTGTACCTGCCACGATCTGTCATCAATATATAAATACGTATCAAAAGACTTGGAAATATATATACTAAGCTCATAAAATATTTACAATTCAAGGATTTTAAATACTTTGATACAAACCAAAGTGCATACAAACACTATGGCATTGAAATACTTGAACATAGACGCACACAAAGTGACATTACTTTGTTACAAGCAATTTCAACTGGCAGAATTGATTGTCCCGATTTGCTGTCAAATATATCACTACTTGTCCCCAAAATTAAGAACGCGACGTACCGCTCTATTATACGAACTACCAAAAAAAAACACTCTCTTAAAAAAAATACTTAATGTCCTCACATACCCATAATCTATACGAGTATAAATAGGTGTACATAACTATAAATATGTCCGTAACTACCATAGACTCATTCCGTTACACATACCACACATACACGCATATACTCACACGTACACATACACACACACGCGCGCATGCACACGCACACGCGCACACGCACACACGCACATAGATGTAACACATTATGTTTGATGTGCATATCATTAGCATGAGCAATTTAATTTATTCAGACTTTTTTTCTTTTTCCTTTTTCAGTATATGAGTACTCTGTTGTCTAATACATATACTATTATATCTAATAGAGTAATCTAATTTTGACCACATTTATTAATAACTTTGTGCTCAAACTGTATTTCAACAATTTTGTAACGCTGTAAGATTACCAATAAATAAATAAATTAATAAAAAACTAAAAAAAAAACCGTTTTTTTAAACTATTGCATAGCTTCTATCGCGGGCCTTGAGCGTGGGGACCGAATCCAGAAATTCCGTAACGAAAAAACCTGACACCCCCCACTCCGACCGGCACAGCGGTGATACTTTTTAGTTTTTCCATCTATCGATAAATACCAGAACTTTTAATGACTTTTTGAAATATCACGCTTGTCTCTTTAGTTCAGCAACCCGCCTTTAGGTGGCATTGGTTGTATTGGAAAACTACCGTAATCAGCTGTTTGTGAGAAAGTATATAGGTGTATAGGTATTTATCATCTATGTACAACAGTGAATATCTGTACTCGTATAATTTGTGTACAAAGTGTTTTAAATATGAATAAACAAAGTGCATTTATTAATGAAGAAAGCTATGCAATAGCTTTACCGCGGCAGTCTCCGAGTGCCACATTTAATTTTTTAGTTTTTATTTGTCCATTTTTAGTGTAGACGTAATAAGCGGGTAATTTGTTAGAAGAAAGTTTATTAATAACATGTTCGATTAAGCAATTTAATTGATAAAAACTTTTTAACAAAAAAATAAAAACCGACTTCAAAAAAAACACTAATAATTAAAAAATAACTGATTGGTACTTTTCATTTACTATACCTACATACCTAATTAAATATTTTCGAAGTCGGTGCCAGCCATACAAAGCAAAGCACACCGACTTCGATTTTAATAAAATATTCGCTTAAACCGTTTGAGTTACTTTGATGTCAAATTTTATACGAAGGCTTACAAACTAAAGTTCGCTTTTATTAGTAACACTAAAAATTTTGACTCTAAAATCCGATTCTAACGTGTTAGGCTTGTCAAATCAAACAAAATAAGCCCAAACTCAAAGTATCTACTATTAGCCGTTGAAGAGTTACACCTATCCACCTTCTGGCCTTACCATCAGATCAGGTCAACGATACCGAAACACTGCACTATCAACGAAAATAGACACACTTGCAAAGTTTCAAGTCAATATGACAATTAGAAGTAGGATAAATTCATCATTATCTATTTTTCCACCCTTAGGAGTGGTATTTTTTTTTATTTAAATGGGGCCAATCTGGACGTATACATTTTCAAACAAAACAAAAATTGTCTAAATCGGTAAATAAATGACGGAGTTCTGAGGTAACAAACATAAAAAAAACATACAGCCGAATTGAGAACCTTCTTCTTTTTGAGGAAGTCGGTTGAAAAAATTATTTATTTGTTGATTTAAAAAAAACCGCTTGACCGATTTCGATAAAATTTACATGGGAAGTATACCCTTTGAAACAAAAAAAAATCCAAATCGGTTTAGGCGTCTTTGAGTAATCGGTGAACATACATAAAAAAAAAGATTCCGACGAATTGAAAACCTCCTCCATCTTGGAAGTCGGTAAAAAATTATTGTAAATCTAAGTACGTGTACCGTGCTAACAATATTAGAAAGGTAAAATTAAAAATCTATTACTTGTAAATGATTATTGTTCCTCATAGTTTTCTGTACATTAAAATGTATGGAAGTATAGCTATTAATAAAATGTTTGGAATTATAGCTAATACTTGTATGTTGTTTAAAAAATACTGTAACTTTTACATAAGAGCAACCGTTGTATTTCTTGCCGATTTTTTTCAGCGTAACAGATTTCCATGGACTGACTACACTGACTTCAAACTAAGTTTACTGTACTATAATAATCTTTTATAAAATATACTAGCGACTTACCCTCACTTCGCTCGGATTTGCCCCTAACGTTTTAACGGTTAGTATGGAATAGATAAGCTATATATTATGTACACAGTATACATAATACTTATGTATGATGAGTTTTATATTCCATATTTGAGAAATGATTGATTCCCCATACAAACTTCCACCCCTCACCCTTTTTCATCGCCTATTAAACTACTATTACTAAAAACTACTAAAAACCAGAGTCTATAACTATCTTCATTCTAATTTTCATTTAAATCGGTTCAACTGATTAAGCGTGAAAAGGTATCAGAAGACAAAGTTTCGTATTTTTAATATTAATGTGGATAATATTTTATATATCGGGATGTTGATCTACATTAATGCAAACATATACGAGTAAAAGCTAATATTGACCTTACCTCTATTACCATAATAATAATTGCTTCAGGACACTCTTCATTTGGATATCTGACACCGTAGCCAATGGTCATCTATGAAAAAAGTATTTTTATCATGTATCTTTTATTATAATTCTATTAAATCTATAAGTTATACATAAAAGAAAAATTGAATTTGTTAATTTACAAAAACTTGGCCGCACAGCCATCTACTGGGCGAAATATGTATAAACCTGAATAAAATTCCATAATTGAGAAAAAAGAACATTATGTAAATATTACTTTTATCTTTATCTCAAAACTTGCTCACAATTACTTATGTATGGACCAACAATTGTCGTATGGGGACCAACACCTTGAGAGAATTTCGTGTATGTAAGAAAATAAGTAGCTCTTAAAAGAAGCGAATCAACCCGCGCCGTGATGGGTATTCTATCCCCCTCGTATTTAGAGCGGAAGAAGAAAAAGCTGAAATATCTATATTATTATTACTATCATGTCTTACCTGAGTTTCAACGGACATCATAAGTAGCCCAGCAAAAGAGGATGTTCCAGTAATACAGTGTTCTTTCCCATCGCCGATGTCATCTTGATAAGAAGACGCCACCGCGTACCAAATACCAGCGAATATGAACCAAAAGATAAAATGAGCGCAAACCATCGTCAAGATTAAGTAACGCCATTTGCTGTTTATCTGAAATAATATAAATAAATAATCACTTTTTATATACAAAAGTAAACCATCCTCGAAATCCCTTTAGAAATAATTTGAAGTCTTTAAAGATTCTTAAATATTTGAAGAATTTGTATGCAACTAACCTAAAATAAAGCTATAATATATGGACAGACGTGATAAAATTATTATAAGGGTTCGGCTTTTGCCTTTATGTTACGGAGCCCTAAAAAAAGGTTATAAAAATTATTTTACCATTGGCAAGATTAGATAAAATTAAAAAATTGCGTTGACAATGAGTTTATTATTTATTGATTTATCCTTTTCTCACGAAGCAATTAAGTATGTCCCGATAGTAGCATAGGGCACTTTTTATCCCGATTTGTAAAATGATTTTCTCAACATATTATACTACCTCGTTGGGAATGTAAGCTTCTAGGTCTTTACATATACCTACCACGGTATTTACAATATCCCGCATATACTTTATGGATTTAGCAGGTATATTGCTTCGCACTGGCACGTTCTCTGCTCCACACTTATTGACTACTCTTCGAGAACGAATGGGACGTCCATGTTGACGCCTGGAAATAAATCAAAATGGTATTGAAAACAATAGCTATTCCAATTATAATTCTATAGTAAATTATAAACGAAATCACTTAAAAATTGATTTATTTGTTGACGTAAAATGTGTGTTGGAAATATTTTTTCCACGTGACAAATTAGCAGTGACCTACAAACCTGAAACTATATTTCACAGGTTTGTTTATAAGCGTAATCTAGAATGACATTAATATTAGCTTTAAGATAAATTACTTCCTAGGGAACTGTTTTAATAATGTTGGCAGTAGTAAAAGGTGCCTATTCTGGGTTCAAGTTCCGGATTGGGCAAAAAAGAACAATTGTTTTTTTTTTATGAAATGCTTAGTTGTGTCACGGTAATATTACATACAGTATTCCATCTTCATACAAACGGTTAGAAATCGAGTTATACCTACGCGCGTCGCGTTCGGTATACACTCGGTAGATAACCGTGCGGGGCTGCCAGATCGTATAATTGGATACGAAAATTGTATAAGGTGGTTATGTTATGTAACTTTTATAATTTGATACAAAAATAAACATTTTATTCCTCCCGTAACTTCGCTAATGTCAAACAAAAAAGTATCGAGACATCGTATGTTTTAAAAATAAAAATTAATTAATTAAATTAAAAATAAAAATTAAAGTATTTTTTATTAAATTTTTTATCCGAATACGGATTCTTTATACTATAAAATTTAACAATAAAGCTTTTCGTACGTCTCAGTTGAGCCGCAAATATTTTTAAATTTCAAATTTATAAGGGTCACATACCACCTTTATAAATTTGAGATTTTTTAATTAAATCTACTAATAATAGTTTTTAAATAAAAAATATAATATTTAATAATAAGATGAAATTAAAATACTGGCCGGCGGGCACTCGGGCAGCCCTGTCGCGTGGGTACGTGCCGCTCGGCTGTAGGTAATTATTTCAAGGGCAGGCCCGAGTTGCAATACTGTATGCATTACATTACCGTGGTTGTGTTTTGAAGTTCATATATTAGTGACGCATTGAAGGGAGGCCCATGCCCAGCAATGGGATGTTAAAAAGGGCTGAATACAACATGTTTTTGAGACAGTATCCCCCTATATTAGACATACATAATTATGCATTTATTTTATCGTATAGTTTGCGTCGTAGTAATTATTATATTATGTATGTGTATCAATAGGTACTATTATAAATCAATACCATTTATCGCGTTTAAATAAGATAAGTAAGCTTTTTAAGCCTTTAAATAATCCGATTCCTTACGGTATGATATTTGTATCAAGGAAACCTTTATGATTGTTCTATGGTTTTGCCTGTCACGTCCTTTCCTCAAAGAGGATATTAGAGGATATTAATTTCAATTAGTCACAACCTATATATATAAAACATAATCGCTGTTTTATCTGTCTATTTGTGCCCCTAACTCTTATAAACTACGCAACGTACTTTGATACATACGATTTTCTTTATCATTTACAGTTATTTATCCTTTCGGAAGGTTTATGTGAAAACATGCGTAATATTAAATTAAAAATAGATGTTTCGTAATTAAGTCATTTGGTCTGAGCAAAGAGAGCGAGTCGTATCAATCCATATCTACATATACTAATATCATACACTACCGGTCGGGTACTATACGCTCGGGTTCGCCTCTAGAAAAACATGAATCAATCCCACGGGAACCGTACATTTTTCCGGGATTAAAAAAGCTAGCCTATGTGTTATTCTTGACGTATGAGCTTTATTATTATTGTAAAGTTTCATTAAAATCCATTTAGTATTTTTTTCGTGAAAGAGTAAGAAACATCCATACATCCAGACATCCACACATCTTCACAAACTTTCCCAGTTATTCGTAGGGTGTGAAAGTGTGTTTATTTGTTTATTACTTCTTTCTCATCGAAATAGAGTGACGGGTTGGTGTGTTTTTCGTATGGAGATAGTTGAAGAGCTGGAGGCATAGGCATAGGCTACTTTTTACCTTGGGAGATTATCTCATTCCCACGGGAAAACACGCTGTAATATAACCACGCAACTCCTATGTATATATGTATTCAGCCCTTTTTTTTAACGTCCCACTGCTGGGCACGGGCCTCCCTTGAGATGTATATATACATATATAATAAATTATATAGTTTATCTATTCCATACTAACCGTTAAAACGTATCGCTAGTTATTTATAAATGCAAAAGACAACTATAACAAGATCGTGGTAGGTCAGATATGAAGTGATTAAATCAGTGAATATTTACGAAAATCTTCTATTTTCGACTTTATATTAAATCCACAAAAACATCTACCTACTTAATTTGACCATATCTGTAATATAAAAGGTGTATTCTGAAATCTCAATATTACACGCTACTAAAATATTGTATTTCAAATCCAAAATTTTCCTACCAAAGGCAAATACTGCTCCATTCCTTTCGTTATTTATCATTGTTTGAGATAACGCAAATAACGTTTCATGAAAATATGTCATATTTGGCTAATTTATCTTATCAAAATACGCGATAAAAATGATTTATCGAATATAATATGTAGCTTATATTCGATGGATTTGCCAAAATAACATTGAAAAATAATAATTTTTCACTCAACTTTGTTTTGAACAATTTATTTATTTATCTTTTACATCTAGGTGGATCATTCCCAACATGATTATTACTTGTCTCACGGTGAAGGGAAACATCTTGAGGAAACCTGCATGTCTGAGAGAACCTAACAAGTTTTCGAAAGACATGTGAAGTCCGCTAACCCGCACTTGGCCAGCGTGGTGTACTATATCCTGATCCCCCTGGTGTTGAAGGGAGGCCCGTACCCAGCAGTAGAACGTTAAATAGGGCTGAATACGAAGCGGATATATTACGTAGTTACTAGACATTTTTCGCATCGTTGTCTGTATGAATAATATTCTCATTACATTTTTAGATAAGGCTTTACATAGCCAAGAGGAAATTATTATAATTAACCCTACGAAAACTTATCACTAGCACATACAGTGCTATGAGATACCCTAACTTTAAGCATTATATCAAAAGTTGGCGCGGCCAAAATTCAGTATATCAAAATTCATCCATCTAGTCAAAATCACCTTAAAATTGATTGTTTTATCCTCAAGGGCGAAATTTTCCTTGAAATTTATACGGGACCTTTAAGTAGGGCAGATTTTTTTCTTGAAATTCCAATTTCCTTTAAGGGTAACATATTTATTAAAAAAACATAGGAATTCGTTTACGATTGGCCAATATCATACAAATACAAAAACATGCAACCATATTACGAATTTGTACCTTTCCTTTCTGAACTGAATCAAAATTAGGTACTATAAGACAAATAAAATAAGTGCTTAGTACAATTGGATTTGAATTGACAATATGAGGGCGGTATGAATGTTAAAAAATATTGTTAAAAGTAATTACTTTTAATTTAACAAGATTCTCAGGTGATTTAGAAGGAATACTGTAAAAACTAGAAATTTTCTTAGCCTCAAAATTATCATATCATAGATTAAGCTTTGAGTCTATATTGGTAAGTTTTCAGATAGAGTACTTACGACTACATTAGAAAATATCGTAAAAATAAAAATAAAACCAGATTAAAGCACGTTTGGTTCATACGCTGACGGTTCCGTGGCATGAAAATATATATCTATACTTATAATAAATCTGTAGAGAGGTCAATTCTGTACATGAAATATATTTCCAAAATAACTATCAGGGGGTGATTAGGGATCGATACTGATGCCAAAAATGCAATCAGTAAATTTTTTGTCTGTCTGTCTGTCTGTATAACCGTTATAGAAACAAAAACTACTCGACGGATTTTAACGAAACTTGGTACAATTATTTATCATACTCCTGAGCTGGTTAAAGTATACTTTTCATCACGCTACAATCAATAGGAGCAGAGCAGTGAAGGGAAATGTTGGGAAAACGGGAGAAGTTACTCCATTTTTTAAGCTTCCGTCGCGTGTGCAACCTTAATAGTTAAAGCTACACAGAAATCATGTACGACGGAAATGTTCTCCTTAAAATTATATAAAAAATATCCCAGGACAGCATATGTCTATCTTTTATGGTTGACTCACAATAACACGTGTAACTCCCGATAGCTTAGCAGTTCGAAGCTTTCTGATTTATATTTGTCTACTCTTACGTTTATAACACTCCAGTCATCCCTAATAAAAAAAGTTAACATTATAAACTATTCCATAAAAAAGAATCATAGAAATCGGTATAGAAACACCAAAGTTATACATGAAATACGCTAATAATAAGCCATCGCGAGTCAGGGGGATGTAAGAAGACAAATAGAACAAATCCAGATTTTTTTCAATTTTTTTGTTTCTCTGTCTGTTTGTCTGTTTGTTTGTACGGGCTAATCTCCGAATCTATTGTACTGATTTAAATGAAACTTTGCATGGTGGTACCTTATATCCCCGGACAACGTCTTAGATATTTTTTATCCCGGAAAATTAAATGGTTCCCGTGGGATAGTTAAAAAACTATTATAACTTATGCAACTTATGCACCTAATTTAGTAAAATTTAACATTCTGATACCTTATATTGCCGGTCAAACAACAGGTTACTTTTCATCCGGGAAAAATGAACGGTTCCCGTGGGAACTAATAGATTTCTATTAGTGTTTTTCTAGAGGCGAACCCGAGCGAAGCGAGGGTGAGCCGCTAGTAATGATATATTATCATGTTTTCTCACAAATTTAGTATGTAAAATAAAATATTTACTCATCTTCAATATTCATTGACGACATAAATAAGTTCGTATTTTCATAGTATTAGATAGATAGATAGATGCTTTATTGTACACCACAAAGAAATAAACAAAAAGTAGATATAAACAATAGATGATGCACAGCAGGCGGCCTTATCACTATAAGCGATCTCTTCTAGGCAACCTTAGGGCGTAGGAGAAATTATATGAAATGGTAGGCGGTGTACTTACTACACACAATTGCATATCCTAAATACAGACATACATAAATACATACATACATATATACATACATACATACATACATACACACACACATACATACATACATAATACATACATACATACATAGATCAACTGCCTCGGTTGTGTAGTGGCTAGCATGTACGGCTGCACACCCGGAGGTCCTGGGTTCGAGTCCCGGGTCGGGCCAAGTTTAGTTATTGAGTCTTCCTGTATAGTAAGTCTCAGTAACAGCCCGGAGTTGGGAAGTTGGCGGTGTTTCACCCCCGTGCCTCGGAGAGCACGTAAAGCCGTCGGTCCTGCGCCTTAACTCTCACCGGTCGTGTCGAGTGGTCGTCCCACCGGAGTATGAGAGTGATAGGAATAGAGAGTGCACTTGTGTCTGCGCGTACACTTGAGCACTATAATATCTCCTGCGCAGTTGGCTAATCTCGTTGAGATTGGCCGCCGTGGCCGGAATCGGCTAGGAGAGAACATCATCACATAGATACATACATACATACATACATACATACATACATACATACATACATACATACTTATATACATACATACTTACATACATACATAAATGCATAAATACAATGCATACATACATAAATGTAGATCAGATGAAAAATTATAAAAAGTTTAACTATGAAAAATAAAATTAATTTCGCGACCAAATGCGTGCAGTCTTGGGACAAGCTCTTTTTGCCTTTTTTCTATGGAATTCTAAAAGGATGAACTAAAATGGTCGTCATATTATATCTTATATTTTTACACATAGTTTTTGATATAATACAAAATTTATTTTTAGTACATAAGTACTATTTTTATCTCTTAAATGTTAACATTAAGTGTAAGGTCGTGCCGTAAAGAAATATGCCAAGGTGTGACAGTACAACGGTATCCGCTACTTAAACTTTATTTTTACTTTTCAGGGAAATAAACATGAACATTTTCCGAAATCGTAAACGTTATCGAAATGCTTACTTTAATTGATACAGAAGAATTAAGATTAGTTTACTCCGTTTTCACTAAAAAAACATTTAACTCTAAAAATAACTGAGGTAAAATTTTGCTTTAATGTTACTCCATCACTGAAATCTATATCTATACCTACATATAATAAAATTGTAACTTAGCCGAATCTGTACAGTAAATATTTATTTGAAAATCTTATTGAATTAAACATCATTATCATTCAGAGGCCGAATCTATACTTTTTAGAATTTTTGTCTGACTGTCTGCCTGTCTCTCTGTTACCGCATCAAAGAAAAACCACTGGAGGGATTTTGATGAAATTTAGTATGGTGATATCTGGTTATCCGGGTCAACATATAGGATACATTTTACCGCGGGAAAATGTCTCATTTCTGAGAAAAAATACAAAAACAGTAATGTAAGAGTATACTTAGTATACTCTTACATTACTGTACATTACATTTATAGTATTTGTTTTATTTCTATCAGTGCATGAATAAAAAAGTTATGTCAATTTAAACAATCACCTAGGGAGGAACTTCAGTAGAACGAAGTTGAGTCGCTAGTTATTAGTAATAAAATTAACAAAGCATATGAATTAATAGAAATAACATTAGTATTATAAATATTATGAAACTTTATGATGTGTATTGCTTCTTCGTGTTCTTGAAAGATCAATCTTTATATATATAATTCTTCTGTGAGTGTGTATGTCACTGAACTTCTCTCAAACGACTGGACCGATTTTGATGAAATTTTTTGTGTGTGTTCAAGGGGATCTGAGAATGGTTTAGATTCACAATTTGAATAATAATTTTCATCAAAATGGTCCAGAATGTTTTAGCTTATTAAAAAAAGTTTGAAATTTTCAAATTAAAGACGTGTAGACAGGACAACGTCTGTCAGCTAGTTTTATATAATATGTTTCTAGCGACTTAACCTCGCTTCGCTAGGTACGTTTTAATTTTTTTGAGCGGAACCCTATTCTTTTTCTAAAATAAAAGTAACCTTAGTTACTCCTTATAACATCAGCTATCTGCCAGTTAAATTCCGATCAAAATGTGTTTCGGTTCCTTTTCGGAGATTAGCTGGACAAACAGGCAGATAGACAGACAGACAGAGAAAAAAAATTAAAGTTGTGTTTTTCTTAAAAGTATCATATAAAATTTCATATGCATTTAGTATAAAGCTGATATTTTGACATTACAAACAGACACTTCAGTTATATTTATCTGTATAGATTATCAAATTGATGTTAATTTAAAAGTTAAACTTACCTAGATGGCCTAGTTTTCTTCCGCCTCCTAGCATATGGTGTAGAGTATCTAATGGGCGATGAAAGGCTTGTATCATTTTCATTATAAATACTATCAGCATTCTCTATAGTGTCATACAAATCTGTAGACACAACAGACCCCACTAGAGGTTGAGTGGAAGCATCTGAAATATTCCTTTTCTCAGAAGTCTTCGGACTTTCAGTTTCAACATCTATCGTCATAACAAGTCCATTGTCTGTGTATTCATCTTCACTGGAATACTGACTGTATCCAGCTTGAATAATGTTGTTAGAGCCAGCATTAAAATTTTCATTTGTAACTATATAGGGAAAAGCTATTTCTCTTCCTTCAACGTACGTTTGTGAAATTCTGTTATGTTTTTTTATTTCCTCATTCGTATATACTTCTGTGTTGACGATTCTTGGTATTTCTATAGACAATCTCTCAGACCAATTTCCAATCGCTTCTGAATAGCTTAAAGATCTTTCTAAAGCTCTACTTTTACTTCCCCTTCTTTCACCATCATGATTTGGTCCACTCATATTACTTTATTTTCAAATAATAGTCTAATGTTCCATAAACACACTTATTATAATGTCTTTGTTTATAGACCATATATCTTCATCAAATGCTTTACCGACACTTGAATATTATCACAACACTACAATTATTTATTATTTTATTGTATATTTTATCATTTCTTCTAAAGTAACTGCGTACTTGTAAAATAACTATTTTAATACAAATTTTAAAACAGGTTTCACAATTTTCATATGAATATTTTGTAAGCGTTACTTCACAACTAAGTCAAGTTATCTATTGTGTAGATAAACACCTTTATCCTAACAGATAAGAATATTTGTTGATAGATACCTTTCGATCAATACCCGTGGCCTATACGTTAATACCATATTTACTTATTTTCCTTGGTTATATCTGTACCTATACCTAAGTCTGTTTTTTATACATGCTATTACCTATGTTTTTGTCTATATCAGCTTTAGTAAAAAGGGAAATGAAATTAATTTAATTTTTCTTGATAAGCTAGCTCTGAACCAGATTTTCTTCATTTCATTTTTGGAATATTTTACTTCTGCGATTTTTTTTGATTGGGGTTTATTTGATGTATCGGAAAAGTATTCTATTTCTATGCTATTCTGCGGTATGTTTATTTTTATAATTTTTGATCATTACTAAAAAAAAAATCAGTTAACAGATGTGTGACAGTAAATGTTATTTCGGATCTTAGCTTAATATACTGAATTACATACACTAAATTAGATACAGAAATAAAGAAACTTATTGTTTCGTTTACTTTGAGATAGTTCAATAAATTATATACAGATTTGTTTGATTTGGAAGAGAGATGAGTATTTTTAATTGTAAAAAATAGAATACATTTATTTACTACAAATATATTTGGCATTTTACATAGTTTTAAAACAATTCAAAACAATTCGATATCATTGTTACAATATGTTACATTTATTATGCTATAATTTTGATTACAAAAGACTGTATAGCGCTATGCTGATAGCTTCTTTATAATATTTTTAAACATACAACATTTTTTATATATATATGATAAAAAAGATAATTAATCCTATTGTTATTTCCGGTTGACCTCATTTTTGTGCTGAAATGTTATAGTATATTCCCATTGGCAAGAATATACTTATGAATATTCTTTTCGACTTACCCTCGCTTCGCTCGGGTTCTTCCCTAGGTTGATTCCCCATACAAACTTTCACCTCCGTTTTCACCCCCTTAAGTGATGATTTCCGGGATAAAAAGTATTCTATGTCCTTCCCAGAGTTGTAAGCTATCTTCTTACCAAATTTCATCTAAATCGGTTTAGTAGATTCAGAGATTACCCCCTACAACGTCACAAACTCACAAACTTTAACTCTTCATAATATTAGTATAGATATAGGATTTTGGATATTGATGATGTTAATGGTAGATGTTGCTAGCTTCAAAAAAATTATAAAAAAAAGGTTAAGGTAACATTTGGATATTCATTTTTATTTTTTAAGGTTAGTATAGATTTCTCACAGATGAGAAATATTGTACCGCAGTAAAAAGTATCCTAAATGTTGACCCGGTTAACCGGCTATCATCATACCAAATTTCATCAAAATCAGTTCAGTGGTTTTCTCATGATGCGTTCCCAGACAGACAGACAAAAAATCTAAAAACTATACATTAGGCCTCTGTATTGACATTTCAATAAGGTTTTCCCAAAAAAAAAATTTACAATTTACAGATTCGACTCAGATTTATTATATGAGAATAACAAGCAATTTTACGAGTAATCTATTTTATTATGAGTATTAATTCTTCCTTTCTTTTCTTCTAAAGGACGATGTTCTACCGATCTGGAACTTTGACACTTTGTCACTGAAGCTACCAGGGCTGCCCGGAGGAGCGAACTTCTCTATCGGAGTACTTGAAGTGCTAAAAAAGATGAAACTTTTCAAAATATACACACATGGATTTGATTGTAAAAGATGATTTTTTCTCTATGAATACGGACTGCTTTAAAATATCACAAATTTCAAAAGAAATATTTCATTATTTTTCAAACCGAATCTTATGCATTTACACACGAAGTGTAGGACTCACTGGCAAAGCCAGTACTACCCACTAAAACCTAACAAGACCTTCCTCCGTCTTAATGGGGCGTCGCAGGATCGCTTACGCATTCAACTACGACGCCCCAACGGCAGGTCTACCGAAGCAGACCACAACAACCATGGGGTTGCTCCAAGGTCCACGCTGCTATCAGAGAAGCACCAGGAGCAACCCGCATGGTACATCGCCCTACAAAGCGGGCCACCTCCCTGTGAGTTTCTTGGCTTCGAGCTCGGCTGTATTGCCAGGCACTACTGACCCCCTCCCCCCCCCACCACGACAAGATGAACGCACGTTGGGGGGGAAACCGAATGTAACTCAAGACGAACTAACTTAAAAAATGATGTTATAATATTTATTTTTTAACATAAATAATTAAAATATCCAGCTACTCGTATACCTGTAGAGTTCATAAGCGCTACAAAATGGTGTGTGAACGGGCTCGATGGTGTCTAACTTTGAATGGTCGATTACATACTTTTGTTTATGAGTGTCATATCTGAAACATATAAAATAAGTTTTGTATATACATTACAAAGTAAATGAAATATTTTGTAATTTTAAATTTCATATTTGCATATTATTTGCATGCATAACAACGAGCCCACATTACTAGCAAACCATCGAAAAACACTTCGCAAATGTAGCGTAAGTAGTGCAACGGACTAAAATATCCTATGGTAGTACTCCGACCCATAAATTCTGAAAATTTCAATGAAATAGCTAATAATAAAAAAAAAGTAATTAAATGCCTTGGTGGTCTAGTGGTTAGCATATAGGTACGGCTGCAGATCTGGAGGGTCTGGAGTTGGATCAAGTTTAGTTATCTCCTGCGCAATTGGCTAGCCTCAGTAAGACTGGCCACCGTGGCCGAAAAAGTCGGGACGAATTAATCGATTAGTTGCTTCGTGAACGTAGGAGAAAGCAACAAACTAATAAATACACATTGATATTTATAATATTAGGGCCCATAATTGCAGCTAAAACCACCGATCAGAAATTAACCTACGGTTCATGTCATATAAATTATACATTGTACTGCAAACTTAATACTAGTAGTTTAAACTACGTAAATATTAAGGTAATTTGTAATTGCCATAATGCCGTGATGCCACGGCCCTGAAAGTGACATGACGCCGGTCAAATTTTTTTGTGTAATTTCATTTTGATCGCAAAAGTTAGACGTGTTAATTACATGTGTCAGCAGTATTATACATAATATGTATATTATTGATTCCCCATACAAACTTTCATCCTCATTTTCACCCTCTTAAGGAATGATTTCCGGGATAAAATTACTTATCCTATGTCCTTTCCAGGATCTCAAACTATCTTCTTACGAAATTTCATCTAAATTGGTCCAGTAGATCCAGAGAATACCCCCTACAACGTCACAAATTCAGAAACTCACAAACTCTACCTCTTTATAATATTAGTATAGATGTTTGGCTTAGTTTGTAGTGACCCTACTTGCTGTGGCCATAGATCGCGGTTTCGAGTCCCGCTGGGGGCATTCATTTGTTTGATGAGCACGAATGTTTGTACTCCAGTCATGTGTGTTTATATTTATAATATGAGTATGTACTTAAAAATATATGTATATGTGTAGTGTATGAAGCCATGAAACTAGATGGTGCTGTGTGTTAATATGCCAATATATTTATTATTACTATTTATTTATAATAAACCTTGTGACTGGCATTTCTTCTTAAGTAAGAATACTAGTTTGTTTGTTCCGACCGTTTTCGGTCTTGGCGACCACTTCAACTCCTAGTTGGCCCGGCGCTGATGCGCGCGAAGGTGGCTAATGTAGCCGATCTTCTTAGTAAGCCCACGTGCGCACCAGGCGCACAGCATAATTATACTGAATGGCTGCAGGTGGTCGGGCCTTTAAGTCATCGCGCTTAGCATCGAGGTCAGTTTTGCGCTGACCCTAGAAGACGCGAACCTGCCTCAGAACAAGGCTACGCCATTCAGGATGCTGTGCCGCCAAACCTTCCCACTTTGAGGGTTCAATGTTGCATCTTTTCATATGCCGCTTCAGAACATCTTTGTATCTGAGGAGTTGGCCGCCTGGTTTTCGCTTACCCTCCTGCAGTTCTGAATAAAAGATGCGCTTCGCCACTCGATCCTCCGACATTCGCGAGACGTGTCCGCACCACCGAAGCTGGCATCGCATTAAGTATGTCTCAATGCCACCGACATTGGCTCGACGCAGAACTTCGGTATTTCGCACTCGATCAGACTAGCTGATCTTCATGATACTGCGTAGGCATTTAAGATGGAACCTGTCTAGTGTGCGAATGTGGTGACGGTACACGCACTACGCCTCAGAGGAATAAAGAAGGTTTGGCAGCACTATCGCCATGTAGACAGATACCTTAGTGGCAAGTTTTAAGTCGTGTGAGCGGAAGACCTTGGAACATAGTTTTCCGAATACTGCTGCAGCAGCACCGATCCTGTTATTGATCACAGCATCAAGGTCACACTTAGAAGTTATAGTGCTCCCCAGATAACAGAACTTAACAACTTGCTGAAGCACATCCTCACCAAGCTTTATTGACAATGTCTCATGACCATGGATGTCTGTGGACATCACCTCCGTCTTTTTGACACTAATCTTTAGGCCAAATTTGCAGCAAGCCTGATGAAAACACGACATCAGCTGCTGAAGTCCATCTGGGGTTTCCGCTAAAAAGCAAAGGTCATCGGCATACATAATCTCTGTGATCATGGCGTAAGACACTTTGGTACAAGCTTTCAATCTGGCCAAATTGAAAAGTCTACCGTTTGTGCGAAAACGGATGCGGACACCTTCAACCGAAGTTTGCAGAACTTCCCGGACTACTACTGCAAAGTACAACGCGAACAGCGTGGGTGCTAAAACACACCCTTGTTTTACCCCACAGGTAACGGGGAAAAACTCTGACTGTTCACCGTCTAGAGCGACGCAGCACTGCATATCGTCGTGCAGGAGTCTTAAAAGTCTCACAAACTTGTCCAAGCACTCCAGCTTTCGCAGCACTAGCCAGAGGGTTTCCCGAGGCACACTATCGAAAGCTTTTTCCAAGTCGACAAAGCAGAGGTATAGATGACGACCTTGCTCTCTGCATTTTTCTTGCAGTTGCCGATCGGAAAAGATCGCCTGGCATGTGCCTCGGTCAGGACGGAAGCCAAACTGGGTCTCTGGTAGAATCCTTTCAGACAGACCCTGAGGCGGTTTAAAAGAACTCTGGCAAAGACCTTACCGGGGGCCGACAAAAGAGAAATAACTCGATGGGAATCGCAAAGGGAACGGTCACCTTTGTTTTTATAGAGGGCAATTATGCTAGATACTTAGAAAGTATCCGGGACTTTCTCCTCTTCCCACATACGAACAAAGTGCTCCCACACCAACGTATGCAATTCCTTACCGCCATATTTCAGCAACTCTCCCGGTCAATACCAACCGCCCGATTGTTCTGTTGCTGTCTGATGGCAGTAACAACTTCATCTCGTGACAACGGCTCGCCTAGCTTGGTAGCAAGAGGAAGTTGAGTCAATAAGCTGATATGACGTAGATCGGCTGATCGATCTACATTGAGCAATGTATTGAAGTGTTCTGCCCGACGATTAAGTACGTCCTCCTTACTTGTCAAGAGACGCTCACCGTCCGAGGACTTAAGAGGCACTCTGACTCTGTAGGAAGTACCAATCAGTTTACGAATCTCGCAATAAAACTCCCTAAGCTGGTTTGAGTCTACAAGGCACTGTATGCGACAAGCTTTGTCCTGCCACCACTTGTCTTTGACTTGACGAGACAGCTTACGCAGTTCCTGGTCACTTGTTTTGATCACAGCAATGTCCAAACCTCGCCGTCCATACTGTCGCAAGAGCTCTGGGTGTTTGCTGATTGCTGTCGTGAGGACCTCATTATTATCATCATACCAATCTTCCCTATGTCGGTCTTTTAGGCCCAGGGTGGGAATAGCGGCCAAAACAGATGAGAACATAAGGTCCCCCAGTCAGCATCGACATTTGCGGCCTCTTTGGAAACTGGCAACAGCTTTCCAGTCAAGGCGTTGACAAGTTTCTGCCTTACCTCAAGATCTTTCAGCCTATCCACGTTTATGAAAGAAGGCTTTTTTGTTATGGATCGACGAGGACGACGCAGGTGGAGTCGCAGCTTAGTAACTACTAGCCTGTGGTCAGTCCAACAATGGGCACCACGCATAACGCGGGTGATTTGGACCTGACTAATGTCTCTTTGTCTTACGACAGCATAGTCGATAAGATGCCAGTGTTTAGACCGCGGGTGCATCCACGTAGTCTTGTGCTTAGCTGGAAGTCTAAACATAGTGTTCGTAACCGAAAGTTGGTATTGAGCACAAAGACTCAGTAGCAACTGACCATTATGGTTCATGTTGCCAACTCTTCATCATATAGTCTTGTCCAACTCTGGCATTAAAGTCGCCCAAGAGTAGTATTTGTTCTTGGGGGCGAATGCTGTCTAGACAGTGGGAAAGTTCTTCATAGAACCTGTCCTTGATGTCATCAGACTTGTGTAGGTGCATAGACACTGATGATATTAAGGTAATTGTCTTTGTCCAGGTGAAGGCGCAATGTGGTAACGCGGTCTGAGATATGCAAGGGGTACTCCCCGAGTCGCTTGGCTAGATGGTTTTTGATGGCAAAACCAACTCCTGAACGTCTTGGTTCGGACGCTGCGGTACCTTTCCAAAAGAAAGTGTAACCGCCGCCATCTTCTATCAACTCCCCTTCGTCAGCAAGATGTGTTTCGCTGAGAGCAGCCACATACACGTTATAACGACGAAGTTCCCGCGCTACTATGGCAATTTTGCGTTCAGGGCAAGCATTGCCATCTTGGTCAAGCAGTGTCCTCACGTTCCACGCACCAAACGTCATGACAGATGTTTGCATGTTATTTTTATTTTTTAGTTTTCGACCGCGTATAAGGGGATGCAATGGCAGCCGCGGTTACTACCACCTTTCGAATGGGAACGAACAATTTTTAGGGCACCTTTTCTAGCGCCCTCCTCGGCTGAGCGAGGAAAGCAGTGTCTCCCTAAATAGGGCTGCTTTGTCATCCCAGGTGCTGCCGAATTCACACTGTCATTCCCAATTAAAGTGCAAAAGCGACCACGGTGTAATACAACACCCCTGGGGCCGCCTATGTGCAGGACTCGGACAAAGTCCGATTTGCATCACCAACCGATTTGCATAACCAGACCTCTCTACCTTGTCCTATCGCCATAGGACTTTTTGTCCTCGGAGTCCAGTATTCGGAAGCGGTCAAATGCGCAGGAGAAATTTAGGTGCACAAGCGTACGCGCAGATAGTTAGTCAGTTTATTATATTATTAACTAGTAGAACCCGCGGCTTCCGTCACGCTAAAACTCAAAAAAAAATCTAAAAAAATATAGTATATTTGGTTTCATACAAACTTTCAACCCCTTTAATTATTTTATCCCATTTTACGCCCTTACGTGATGAATTTCGAAAAATACTAAAACACATTTATTTAATTGTATTGTAGAGCATTAATACCAAGTTTCAAGTAATTCTGATCATAAATATTTTTTGGGTTCTATTACAACGTTTTTTCCCGTGGGAATGTCACTCTGTTTCGACGTGAAAGATGAACAAACAAAAAAAAAACAAACACACTTTCACATTTATAATATTAAAAGTGTGGATTTAAAGCTTACTTAACGACTGGTGGAAATCGATGGCCCCAAACGACTTCTTTTGGCAAATATGACGTTTGACTCTGCGTGAACGTGCCCATCGATGCCGACGCACCCTTCAAGCTTATGGTTACTTCATAACTGAAAGTGATATTTAATTATTTTTTTAACATTGTAAGTAATTTTTTGTACTGTTTTTTATAACTAGTTTAGTGTTTCTCTAAATGTTTACCCACATTTTATTTTTCACGTTTTAATATGTAGGTATATAAATGAAATGAGCAAGCTGTGGTCTCTCATATTGTACTTTATAAATTTTACTTCTTATGTGTAGTGTGTACCTTTTGTTGGAGATCCTTAACAAAATAAAATAAAAAAGATAGATATGTTCTAAATGTACAGCTAGTATCGATTTTCTCATAATTTTACCATTCAAACTTCCATTTTGTTGATGTTTTAAAATTAGATTATTTTTAAATCAAAAGATGCTACTTTAAAATCAATTGAAAAGTATGTTTTAAATTTACATATTATATGTAATTCAGGCCTTTTTAACGTCCCACTGCTGGGCACGGGCCTCCCTTCAGTGCGAAGCGAATCAGGCCATAGTCCACCACACTGGCCAAGTGGGGGTTGGCGGACTTCACATGACTTTCGAAAACTTGCTAGGTAGGCTCTCAGACATGCAGGTTTTCTCACGATGTTTTCCTTCACCGTTAAGACAATTTACATAATATATATATATAATCAAAATCAAAATACATAGAATCAATATTATCAAGGGTATAAAATACAAATACTACATAATATTAATTTATCTCACCTACATTCACCAATGGTTTTTGGTGTGAGTCTATAAAACGGGCTTGCTGCGTTTATTTCATGAACTAACGTGACCGGCCATAGTAAAAACTGTCGTTGCTGTAGTGGAAGCGATTGTGCGTAGTAACGTATTACTTCACCTTCTTTTGTTCTGAAAAATAGATATGTCACCGTTTAAAAATATAGCTATAGCATAGATCACATAATACTATAGTAAAAATTTTTTAGTGTTTATACCAATAGTTTAGTATGTGAGAGTTAAAATATTTTTGAGTTTACCAGAGTCGGGGGTAGTGATCTCGCTGAGTTTCTTTCGCCAGTTCTTCTCAGGCCTGAGGTTTATTTCATAAATAGTAGTAGTAATAAAAAATCATAATAATTTAATGCTGAATGAAATATTTTAATTTTGAATTTAAATGATGTTTTTCCAAGTATTTTGAGTGTTTTCTTCATTGACCTTCGATATATGGCTACGTTCAGCTTACTAGGGGCTAATATGTCTCTTTTTAATATATTATGTATTAAAATTAAGTGATTTAGTTACAAACAGTATGAACAACTAAGTTGAAAAAAAAAAAACAGATTAATATGCTTTCGAGTTTATAATATTACTAAATAATAATTATAATACTTTTTTATTCATATCTATAATATTTAGAAACGTTCTTCTAAAACTAGGCAAAGAGCACAAAGCAAACGCACATAATTTGATATTACGTCAGCCTGTAATCGGCGTAACTATTAATCGTCATTCATCTTGTTTAATTAGAGCTGTAATTCCGATTGCCAAGGTTACTCCTATTACATCGATCACGTCATAGTTTGATAAGTGTACCTCAGGAAAGTCGTCGATTACGAGTATATACAGAGTATTAGAATCTTGTTGGTATGAGCAGGCTCGACTGGAGAAGTCCCTACTAATATTCAAATTATGAAAATATTTATATCTATACTGTATATAATAAAGTTCTAACTGATTTGAATACGTACATTGAATATTTTTTGGAAATCCGAATCTATAGTTTTTAGAATTTTTGTGTGTCTGTCTGCCTAGCTGTGTCTGCCTGTTTGTCTGTCTGAGAACGCATTACGAGAAAACCCCTAGACAGATTTTGATGAAATTTGGTGTGATGATAGCTGGTTATCTGGATCAACATATAGGATACTTTTTACTGCGGAAAAATATCTCATCTCTGAAAAATCTATATTAAACGTTTATACTTTAGACTTTTACAAGCACTTTTGAATTATCACTTTTACATTTTAAATTTAAATTAAATGTCAGTATATATTATAGTCTGTGAGGAATCTACCAACGACTCAGAAGGCAGTTACGCTGAGAAGAGCCGGCGACAAACTCAACCGTTGTTTTTTATATATAATTTACAATATTGCAATACAATTATGTTCTTTCCTGCGTTAGTATCAACTAATAGTAATTCCAAACATTTGCATCAGAAAAGTATTCCGTGACGAAATAATATGCTTTGCTCAATAAAACTTCATGAGTCTACTACCAGTTTGGAAAGAAAAAACCACAATCGTAAGAAGAACTGGCGATTGGAATTGATATTGAAATAGTCTGGAGGCGATAACATTATTCCCAAAGTATGAACTGATCTTATATAGCGTAGTAGAATCTTCTTAATTAAATAATTCGAATCGATCGGGGATGTATATGTCTGTTACTCCTTCACGTGGAAACGGCTGAACAGATTTGGATAGAACTTGGTACACAAATAGACTATACTTTAAAGCAATATATAAGCTACTGTTTTGTACTTATTTTTCCGTATATAATAACATTTTAATATATAACATTAAACTAACCTGTGAGTATTTATGAAATGTGCCGTAAATTCAGAGCTTATGATATGGTCATAGTTGAGGTCCCACGCTCGGATCATAAGACACAACTTCCCATCTCGCATGCAGATCTAAATATTATATGTGTTTAGTTTATTTTCTAACTCATACTACGTGTATGTGGTATTTATTTTTATTAAAAAATTTATATACACGGTGTCACAAGACCGTGTATCCAATAACATTGTAAAAGAGTTATTGTTTATAAAACTATTGAAATAGGTATAAATCAAAATACAAAGCGCGCTTTCTCTGTCATGATATGTTTGTTGTAAAGCATTTGTAACGATGAAAAATTAAAGATCAAAATAAAATAAAATAAAAATATATTCTAAAAAGAGTTTAGTAAATTACTATTTTTGTTAATTTTATTAAGTTTAAATATATGATAATGTTAAAATATATTGAACTTACTACGGCTTTCTTACTGAAGCCAACGCCATATCGAGACATTTTTTCAGGTCGAGTCAACTTCGCATACACCACACACGTCAATACTCCTGATAGACCGGTGCCCAGTATTAACTACATATGAAAAAATACAAATATATTTTAGATAACTCTTTCGGGTAGTTTTATTTTTAATTTAAAGAAACCGATTTTTTCTGAATATTTTCTTAACCAACTTTAAAGGACCAGTGTTTCCAATTTTAGAAATGAAATCGATAATAACACTAGTTTCGAGTCCTGTCTTTAATAGTGAACATTATAGAATACACGTACATACATAAATTACGTCAATTTATTAAATATTTCACGTATCCCGTACCCATTTAAATTAAAATAGCAAAGTTATCTGTTAATATTTTGCTAAGAAACTTTTTACAGGAGCAAAGTGAAACATTTCAATACAACTTGTTTTAAGTCAAACAAACCCACAGCTTTTTATTTCAAGTATAGTGTACACCTAAAAATTAATTTATTTATCGTTACAGAAAGATAATACTGTTGAATTGAATATATCACCTGCATGATGAATAAAAATATAGACTCAGGACACTCCTCGTCTATTGCTCGATCTCCGAACCCAATCGTTGTCTGGAATTAAATAAAATGTTTCTATCCATACTAATATTATAATTGTCAAAGTAACTCTGTCTGTTACCTTTTCACGCTTAAACCACTGAAGAAACTATTTTAAAAAAATACTATCAGTAGAGACTTAGCTGATGTATATATTTTTGTATAATTTTAGTATCTGATAAGTACAATCTCATTGTATGTTTCACTAATAAATAAATAAATAAATATATTATGAACTAGAATTGCCCGCGGCTCCGCCCGCGTTCAGATGACCAAAAAACAAATTTTTAGGTTTTACATATTAGTATACTCTTACATTGCAGTTTTTGAATTTTTTCTCAGAAATGAGATATTTTCCCGCGGTAACAAGTATACTATATGTTGACCCGGATAACCAGCTATCACCATACCAAATTTCATCAAAATCGCTCTAGTGGTTTTTCTGTGATGCTGTAACACACAGACGGTGACAGACATATAGACAGACAAAAATTCTAAAAACTATAGATTCGGCCTCTGCATCGATAATAATGTTTGATTCAATAAGATTTTCCAAAAAATATTTAATGTACAGATTCGGCTCAGAATTTTATTATATGTATAAATAAAATTAGGCAAGAACATAAATTGCATCCTTGCAATCCACGGGCAAAAACAAGTAATTAATAAATGTTAATAGACATGCAAAATTACTAGTTTTATTCAAATACTAGCGACTCACCCTCGCTCCGCTCGGGTTTCTCCCTTGTTACGTTTTAAAGTTTAGATATTTCTCAGAGATTAGCAGTAAAAAGTATCCTATATGTTGACCCGGATAAAAAGCTCTCATCGTACCAAATTTCATCAAAATCTGTCCAGTGGGTTTCCCGTGATTCGGTCACAGACAGACAGACAAAAATTCTAAAAACTATAGATTCGGCCTCTGTATCGACAATAATGACTATTTCAATAAGATCTTCCAATGTACGGATTCGGCTTAGTTACAATTTCATTATAATATGTATAGATATAGTCATATTTTTCACGGCCATATAATTAAAGCAGCAACAAAATGTATGGCAATAAGATACCGAACGAAGCGAGGGTAAGTACTAAGTATGCTGTATAGATTGAAATATGCAAACCACGTGTATTGCATCCCGCATCATAAAGGCGTCTATCTGTCAGGCAATTACTGGCTTTGTGCTTAACTTCATAAGAACGGATAGCGCTTTATTACCCAATTACTGTAATCTATACACGTTCTTACCAACACGTTTACATGTCATACTCTTATCAGTTAATTTCAATTTTACACATACGGTTTTTTTTACTAACAAACAAAAAAAAATTAAAGTTTAAAGCTGTTTGTGATATTGTAACTCTCAAAACTTTGAAAGGCAGTGGCAGCCCAGTAGTGACACGCTCGCTTGGGAAACCAAGTGAAGCGGGTTCAAATCCCGGGTTTCGAACCTTTGATATTTTCCTGTGTAAATTATTTTCAACATGATTACCACTTGTCTTTCGGTACGGGAAAACATCAGGAGGAAACCTGCATGTTTGAGAGAACTTAGCAAGTTTTCCAAAGATATATGAAGTCCACCAGGCACCAACCCGCACTCGGCCAGCGTGGTGGACTATGGCCTGATCCGTATTAAAAAGGCCCGTGCCCAACAGTGGGACGCTAAAAACAGTTCAATACAACTCTCAAAAGTAAACATCAATCACCCACACACATAAGATTCTACATCTCATAATAGTTTTATTGTAATGAACGTCTTTTAGTTTGTAATACATTATACTTAATATGTATATTCATATAACTAATATTATTAAAAATTAAAAAACCGCGTATGTGTATACTTACATATATACGCACGCAAGAAGTTATACTTCTTTGGCGTAACAGAACAAAAATAGCTAAAGATTTCATCTCGTATGTCACAACTCTGTTTGTAAAAGGAATGCAGCTAACTTCATTAGCACATGTGCACGCGCATAGTAAAAATTTTACTCTCATATTTTTTTCTAAACGTCCCAAATGAAATGAAATAAACTTTATTCAATTAGACTTATTACAAGTACTTTTGTAATAAGCCTAATTGAATAAAGTAAAGTAAGTATCAAAAGAAGTATAACTTCAATAAATAATAACACTGAACTGTTTTCAACCGACTTCCTCAAGAAGGAGGAGGTTCTCTATAATTTTTTATGTTTGTTACCTCAGAACTCCGTCATTTATTAAGTGATTTGGACAATTTTTGTTTTGTTTGAAAGTGTATACTTCCAGATTGGTCCCATTTAAATTTCAAAAAAAAATACCACCCCTAAGGGTGGAAAAATAGCTAATGATGAATTTAACGTACTTCTAATTGTCATATTGTCACTTGAAACTTTGCATGTGTTTCTACTTCCGTTGATAGTACAGTGGTTCGGTATTGTAAACCTGATCTGATGGCAAGGCCAGAAGGTGGATAGGTGGAACTCTTCAACGGCTAATAGATACTTTGAGTTTGGGCTTATTTTGTTTGATTTGACAAGCCTAACACGTTAGAATTCTTACTTTGCTTATTACTGTCTACACTAAAAAGGGAAAAATAAAAACTTAAAAAAAAACCAACTTCAAACAATGCTTTTGTTTGAAGTCGGTTTTTATTTTTTTTGTTTAAAAGTTTTTATATCTTTCCCTATATATAAATATGTTTCCAAAATTATAATGTTGATAATACTAAAGCTTATCAATAGCTACTAAACAAAAAATAAGAAAATTGGTTGACAAACAAAGGAGAAAAGGTACTGAACTGCTTTGTCTTTGCATATTTATATATAGACTAGCGGACCCGACAGACGTTGTCCTGTCTACACGTCTTTAATTTGAAAATTTCAAACTTTTTTTTAATAATTTTTTTGATGAAAATTATTATTCAAATTGTGAATCTAAACCATTCCCAGATCCCCTTGAACACACACAAAAAATTTCATCAAAATCGGTCCAGTCGTTTGAGAGAAGTTCAGTGACATACACACTCACAGAAGAATTATATATATAAAGATATATATTTGTGAATATGAATATTAATTACTTTTTGGAGAAAAGGCAAAACAAGGAAATGATTAATCCAAATAACAAATTGTACATAATATGGAAATTAAACTATTCGTTAGTTGAATTGAAATCGATTGGGCAAATAATAATGAATAAATTGGGCGGTTCTTTTTGATCTCTTCAATAACTGAATTATGAAGGAAATTGTAGAGTTTATTGCATTATTGGTTTTATTAAGACTAGTTAGTGCTGGCTGTAGTGGTAGCCCAGTTATAGTGATATCGCGTTCACTTGGTAAAACAAGGGAAGTGGGTTCAAATCTCGGGTCTCGCACCTATAATATTACCTACTATGTGTGAAATATTTAAAGTACTTCTAACTAAACTAACTTAAATATTTTTTGGAAAATCTTATTGAAATATTAAATATATAATAATAATATTACCGATACATAGGCCGAATCCATAGTTTTTAGAATTTTTGTCTGTCTGTCTGTCTGTTACCGCATCACGAGAAAACTACTGGACAGATTTTGATGATATTTGCTATGAAGGTAGCTGATTATCCGAGTCAACATATAGACTTTTTACTGTGGGAAAATATCACATCTTTGAGAAATCTATACTAAACGTTAAAACGGAAGTAGGGACGAACCCGAGCGAAGCGAGGGTGAGTCACTAGTAATGTATATGCCAATAAACAGAAACTATTTCTTACTTGCGACTAACTCTCGCTTCGCTCGGGGTCGTTCCTAGATACTTTTTAAAAATGCAAATAGTTATTATTATTTTAATAGTTTAATGTTTCTTTTTAATATTAAACATTTTTTTAGATATTTATTGCAGTTTTATTATGTTTTTACGTAAATATATAGTATCACAAATCCGTTTATTTTTTGTAGCTTGTACTTGTAGGAAATAAAGCAAGCGTGTACAATCAGCTTATCACTTCAGCACGCTCCTCTAAATATAAACAGGATAATATATCCTGTCTATATTTCGAAGAGTGATATTATCACTCTTCGAAATGGATCGTTTCGTTTGCATTTGTATTATAGAAAGAACTTACTGTTGTTCACTTTATTTATCTGTATTAAGCCCTATATAACGTCCCACGGCTGGGCACGGGCCTTCCTTCAATACAAAGGGGATCGGGTCATAGTCCGAGTGCGGGGCGGACTTCACATGTCTTTCGACTTGCTAGGTTCTCTCAGACATGCAGGTTTCCTCACGATGTTTTTCTTCGCCGTAAGATAAGTGATAATCATGTTGGAAATGATTTTTTTATACTTATATAAAATTGTATATGTAAGATATAATAGTTAGCCTATACTGAGAAAAATATATTGTTTGTCTGTCCATCTCGTATCTAATAATGTCTACAAAAGCTAAAATAGTTTTTTTAACTCGATTATAAAGAACAAAGATTGTTTTTTTTTTCAGGAAAAAGAAAGGCTTTTTGCGGGGTAATGGGTAGAAAGAAGAAGATGATATTATTAGAAGCTATATTAGTCGTATTAAAGTTTTTCATGGAAATGGGGATTTTGAAAACTTTTAGTTTAAATTAGAGTTTTTTTAGTTGTCAGATGCGCTTCTATTTTGCTAATACTAATTTTATTTTACTGTTATAAATACAAGAATATGTGAAAATATTTTTAATTCATTCTCTTTATACAATAAATTCCTAAATTATATAAATATCAGAGAACAATTTGCTGAGTTTCTTTTCTTAGCATAACTTTTATTCAGAGTCAATGATCATTTCAACACAAATAGACAGCACTAGGATTTTTTTTTGTAGTCTTTATAGTAGCTGAGCGTGAGCATAGAATAGTTAGACAACGTCACTTAGAAATAAGAATTTAAGAAGATTCGAAAGAGATTAACTATATATAAAGAGTCTTTGTTCAAATAATTTACGATTTAAAATGACTAGTGTAAAATGAATAATTATATAATTTTAAGTTTAATATTTATATGTTTTAAAAAAAGATATTGAGATATCCACAGTAAAATTTCTATTTGCTAATGATAAAATATGCAGATGTTTTAATCTGCGAGTAAACATCTCCAACATTAAGGCGTCAAGTTTTAGTAAAATAAAGCTGTTGACAAAAAAATTTACAACATTTAAGATAAGGTTATTTATAAGCCGGCAACGTAAAATTCTATCCAATTGTAAATAACGTTCTAATCCTAGCGACCTCATTTTTGTTATAATTAAAATTAATGTAAGTTTTGATCTGTCTTACAAATTAATAGATCGATTCTATATTTCTTGCGATATAATTAAAATTATAATCAATCTTCATTTATCTAAACCAGATCTTTTACCATCCCACTTTTGAGCACAAGCCTCCCCTCGTGAGTGAGAAAATCATGGTTGGTGGACTTCAAATGTCTTTCAAAAACTACCTAATTGGTACTCTTAGATATGCAGAGGCAGAGGTGTACAACTCAGATGTGTGAAAACTAAAGTTTAAACTTCGATCACTTCATTAAAAAGCGTTACCCGGGCTACTACTTCTTTAACGACTAATCGTTATTGGGTGAAGTTAAAAGGCAGCATTTTCTTAACGATTATAAAAACTTAAAAAAAAACCGACTTCCAGGCACTAAAAAGTAAAAAAAAACTAAACGCGGGTTTTCATTTAGATTAGACACCTAATCAGACATTTTCAAAGTCTATCTCATTAATAGGTATCTATTCTAAATGAAAACCCCCGTTTAGTTATATTTTACTTTTTAGTGCCTGGAAGTCGCTTTATTTTTTTAAGTTTTAATTTTCCCTATTTTTAGTGTAGACGTAATAAGCTGATAATTTGTAAGAAGAAAGTTTTTTCATAAAATTTTTGGCTAAGCAATTTATTTAAGAAATATATTTATTGTTGATATTTTTAATTGTTGAAGTAAAATATTATTGTCAAATATACTCTGTAATAGTATTGACGTACACTTGTGATTAAAGACGGAAGAGGGCGCTGACTCCTGATATACAGGTTTTATTTAGTTTGGGAGTCAAAAGCTTCAATAGGCTTATATAATAACCAAAAATTGTGTCATTAAAGAAATATTGTATTGTATATAATTTAGAACAAACAAGTCATGAACATGTTTTTGAATATATTCAATTCATGTTCATTTACATATTAAAAAGCTTACCTGAGCTTCTACTGAAGCTAAGAATATAGTGACAAAGTCTTTGCCGCCAGTGACGCATGCGCGTTGAGGTGGCTCAGGCTCAAAGTCATAGTGCGCTAGAGCACTGATGTACCAGAAAACAGCGAACACTAACCAAATTGCAAAGTGAACTACCACTGTACCTATTACTATCCACCGCCAACGAAGATTTATCTGGAAAGAAAGTTATATTTCTAATAAATATAATAGTATATATTATATTTAATCACTAGCATTGCCCGCGGCTCCGCCCGCGTTCAGCTGACCAAAAACCAAATTCTTAGGTTTTACATATGAGTAGGTACACTCTTACATTACAGTTTTTGTATTTTATCTCAGATATTTTCCAGCGGTAAAAAGTATCCTATATGTTGACCCGGATAACCAGCTATCATCATACCAAATTTCATCAAATCTGTCCAGTGGTTTTCTCGTGATGCGGTAACGGACAGTCCGACAAAAATTCTAAAAACTATAGATTCGGCCTCTGTATCGATAATAATGTCTATTTAAATTAGATTATCCAAAAAATATTTAATGTACAGATTCGGCTTCGTTACAATTTCATTATATTATGTATAGATTTTCATTTTTTTATAGTAAAAGGGGCAAATTGGCAAACGATGGTAAGTGGCTATCGTCGCTCATAGACGTCTGCAACATGAGAGAGGTTGCGAATGCGTTGAAGAAGAAACGGCTCTTGAAGAACCTCATATTAGCTTTGAAAGTTAGAATACTTTAAGAGTTGAACTTGCATTTTCAGTTTATATTATATTAACGGATTATTTATAGCCCATGGAGTCAAAGTGCTACACTTCTTAAAAGACAACACCTCATCTTATCGCCTTTACCGATGACAAGAGAGCTGGCTTGTTTTTCGCCCAAAGAATCGGCATTCCATTAAGCGGGGGAATGCGGCTAGCATTCTTGTATAGTAATAATAATTAAGTGTACATTTGTTTTGTATATATAATGAAGTATATTTGTAAGTTCCTTTATAAAAAAAAACTAAATATAACAGTTTTTGCAAAACTGTTGCAACATTAAAACTAAACATTTGCTTGCTGTAAGTCACTGTTCTATATATGATTTGCAGTTTAGAAAGTAAAAGATTTAAGTCCTGAGAAAAACTGGTGCAAGAAGTTTTCAGAGACTATAAATGTTCTTTCAGTTCTTTTGCTGTTCGTAAAATACCGCATCATGTTGTACGTACGACTAATTCTACTCATATTGTCTATATATATATATATATATAGACAATATGAGTAGAATTAGTCGTCATCGTCGTCGTCATAATATTTGTTCAATCTTTGTCACCGGAAATACATATTATACTGGAGATTTTCAGTGAAGATAAAAAAGAGAAATTCAATACATTCTTTTTATTCATGAAATATAATAACTCATCAATAATCTTAGGTAGATAGCGATAAAATAAACAATTAATATTCTTGAGCAACTTACCAATGTATGAAAAGTGTCATTGAGTAAGCGAATCTTTTCAAAAGGTACATTTGAAATGAGCGCCACATTTTCTACACCGCTCTTAGAAACTAAACGCTTCGGGTTTTCTGAAAAAGCTCTATAACGGAGTGGCGGTTCTATTCTGAAAAATGAACAAAAATGATAATCATTATATTTTGCGTAGTATTTCGTCCTTATTTCAACTTATTTCAATAGACTTTTTTTCATATCCACGATAAACATCTTGGGTCTTTATTGGGATTAATAGTAGATCCAGGAATTGTCAGTTGTATGTTTGTATGTATTTATGTAATTCAGCCCTTTTTAACGCCCCACTGCTGGGCACAGGCCTCCCTTCAGTACGAGGTGGACCAGGCTATAGTCCACCATGTGAGCCAACTTAGATGCGGGACTTCATATGTCTTTCAAAAACTTGCTCGGCATTCTCAGACTTAGTTACAGGTTTCCTCACGATGTTTTCCTTCACCGTAAGGCAAGTGATAATCATGGTAGAAATGATTTGCACATGAGAATATCAGAGGAGCGGGACCCGGGATTTGAACCCGCGTCACTCGGTTTCCCAAGCGAGTGCAAGTAATGTGTCAGTTACTGGTCTATAAATCATCTCTATATAATTACGTCGATATGCTATCTCTTTCGTGCTAGCAAAATATATAGTATATTATACTACAATTATTGTAAATGTAAAATTGTGTATAATATCATGGTAACTCTTTCACGCTGAAACGACTTGACAGATTTGGATAAAATTTAGTACAGACAAGCGACTCAGCGTATTTTGGGACGTACCCGAATTGCTTCGCTCGGGTACGTCCCTAAATACGTTTTAAACAGATAAAAATAGTTAAATATATCTATATATATATATATATGTATATATATATATATATATATATATATATATGTATACTATAATATATGAATATATATGTGTACGCGCAGACACAAGTGCACTCTCTATTCCTGTCACTCTCATACTCCGGTGGGACGACTGCTCGACACGACCAGTGAGAGTTAAGGCGCAGGACCGACGGCTTTACGTGCTCTCCGAGGCACGGGGGTGAAACACCGCCAACTTCCCAACTCCGGGCTGTTACTGAGACTTACTATACAGAAAGACTCAATAACTAAACTTGGACCGACCCGGGACTGGAACCCAGAACCTCCGAGTGTGCAGTCGTGCATGCTAGCCACTACACCATCGGGGCAGTTGATTGCTATATATTTGAATCGGATTTTGTTTATAATTTCATGGGTTTTCATTTTTATAAAATAAAAGTAGCCTAAATTACTCCTTATAACGTCAACTATTTGCCAGTGAAAGTCCCGTCAAAATCGGCTCAGCCGTTTTGGAGATTAGCCCAAATGAAGAGACAAATAGCCTATTATTAAGCAGCTAAGACATACCAGAATGAAGTGAAGGTAAATGGCTTGATATTAAGTAAAAATTATTAAACACGACGACCATAATTGTACGTAAGAGATATGATCTTGTGATACTGCATATTACATCTGAGAATTGAGATAATACGTTTGATTTCCCTACGATGCTTCAAGTGGACTTTTATTAAACTAATATTTTTATCTATTTAGTTTAAGCAAATCATAGGTACACTTGCAATTTACTATATGTTAATACGTTTTAAGATATCACTAAATCTTTGCTGTTTTTTTTGAAAAAAAAATATTTACCATGTTCAAAAAATGTGAACTGTTGAAAAAATATATATATTCTCGTTCGATAAGTCAATTTGAATAACATTTTTTTCTTATTGTTAAAATAAATTCACTTTCAAGAGACGTCGGGAAAAATAACTTATTTTATTTTATCTTTGTTTTATCACATAGTAAATATTAAATGTGTAATATAACTACCGCGTTCACGTAATGTTTATTGAGATAATTGAATACAACAACTCTGTATATTTTACATAATAATAACATGTTTATTTTCTAGTAACCTGCTTTTCTGTATACTAAGTATATTGGATTTACATGTACAGTACATATTGGATTGGATTTAAAGTTTAGAAAAGCCAACATATAAAATCTATATAAATATTTTTTAAATTAGAAAGTTCCTCTGTCTGTTTGTTAGATAATTATTCATGCTTAAACTGCTAAACAAATTTTGAGAAAATTTGAAAACACATAGATTACTTCATGCATGCATGCATGATTTCTCAAGCGAAGCTGAATGAAAAAGTTGTGTATAATTTTGAAACTCAAAATAAAAATGTTCTTAATTTATTAATTCAATTAAATTGAAATTGTTCTCCGAAGAGCTGGCGAAAACTGAATAGTTACTTTGTAAAAACTTTTAGTTTTTATTATTCATACTAGCACTGCCCGCGGCTCCGCCCGCGTTCATATGACCAAAAACCAAATTCTTAGGTTTTACATATAAATATACTCTTGCAATGCAATTTTTGGTTTTCTCAGAAATGAGATATTTTCTGCAAAAAAAAAGTATCCTATATGTTGACCCCGATAACCAGCTATCATCATACCAAATTTCATCAAAATCTGTTTTATGATTTTCTCGTGATGCGTTCCCAGACAGATAGACAGACAAAAATTCTAAAAACTATAAATTCAGCCTCTGTATCGATAATATGTAATGACAATTTCAATAAGTTCGATTCAGTTAAAATTTTATTATTTGTATGGATATAGATATAGTATAGCACCTTGCTATTTAATTTAATCCTCTCATTTAATGTACTTACGTCTTGGATAAAAAATACTTATCACTTGTTAGCTTCTACTATGACTAAATTGAAATAAATATTCAAACAAACGTTTACAATACAAATTTTGGACCAGTTCAATGCCAAAATCGAACTCATAACCTTCGAATTATTTAGGTGCCATTAACTTTATAACTGTGCTAAACGAATGACATTTGTAATAATAATAATAATAGTTAATGTACACGTTTACTTTAATTTTCAACCGACTTCAAAAAGGAGGAGGTTCTCAATTCGACTGTATGTTTTTTTTTTTTTTTTTTTATGTTTGTTACCTCAGAACTCCGTCATTTATTAACCGATTTGGACAATTTTTGTGTCGTTTGAAAGGGTATGCTTCCAGATTGGTCCCATTTAAATTTCAAAAAAAAATACCACCCCTAAGGGTGGAAAAACAACTAATGATGAATTTAACCTACTTCTAATTGTCATATTTACTTGAAACTTTGCAAGTATTTCTATTTCCGTTGATAGTACAGTGGTTCGGTGTTGTTGACCTGATCTGATGGCAAGGCCAGAAGGTGGATAGGTGGAACTCTTCAACGGCTAATAGTAGATACTTTGAGTTTGGGCTTATTTTGTTTGATTTGACAAGCCTAACACGTTAGAATCCTTACTTTTCTACTACTGTCTACACTAAAAAGGGAAAAATAAAAACTTTTTAACAAAAAATAAAAACCGACTTCAAACAAAAGCACTAAAAAGTAAAAAATAACTGATTGGTAGTTTTCATTTACTATACATACCTAATCAAATATTTTCGAAGTCGGTGTGCTTTGGCTAAGTAATTAAAGCCTACCTATTAAATACATACTTAATCAAATATTTTCGAAATCGGTGCCAGCCCATACAAAGCAAAGCACACCGACTTCGAAAATATTTGATTAGGTATGTATAGTAAATGAAAACTACCAATCAGTTATTTTTTACTTTTTAGTGCTTTTGTTTGAAGTCGGTTTTTATTTTTTTGTTAAAAAGTTTTTATCTACTTTAATACTTCATTAATAAAAATTATAAATAGGTAAAGTTTGTGAGGTTGTAGGGGGTAATCTCTGGATCTACTGAACGGATTGGGATGAAATTTGGTAAGTAGATAGTTTGAGACCCTGGGAAGGGGCATACGATACTTTTTATCCTGGAAATCATCTTTTAAGGGAGTGAAGATGGGGATGAAAGTTTGTATGGGGAATCAAGCTAGGAAAGAACCCGAGTGAATTAAAATAAAATAAATATGTTGGGACATTAAGCGTTGAAGCGAGGGTGAGTCGCTAGTTATTGTATAATTTTATGGGGAGTCGTCGTCTGTCATAACTTTTAATATGTTTACCTTACTATAATCTCTCACATTACCATCATTGCTGTAAAACATTCGACACTTTGGAATCAAAAATCATAATAAAACCGCAAAAAAATCAAAAAGTAGTTTTATTTGAAAAGTTTTTGAAATTTTATAAAATCTGATATTATATTATGTTGCAAGGAAAGTTGAAGTCACTGCTTTAGTTCTATATTAGGCTTTACGATTGATTTAGTCGAGTCAATTCTTGTAGTTATTTAATATAATTATGTAAACATAGAATACGTTGTATAAAGCATATAATTTTATTTAAAAATATAACATCCGTCTGTCCAACACTAATTTTGGTAAAATTATTTAATGAAATGTAACATGAACTCCTGTGAAACGCTCATGTCGACTGGCACTATCCGGCAAAACTTAATTGAATGTTAAGTGCATGTAATACTTTCTTAAGACTCAAATAAAATCTCATTCTGAAGCCAAAAGACTCAAAATAAAAAATACAACATGTTTTTTAATGCTCGCTTTGAGTTTTGTAAATGCTTATTGCTCGATAGTATCAATTCGTATCCTCATATTTCTAATTAGGTACTACTAGTTTCTTAAGACCGCTAATATATGATACATTCAAAAGATATTTAATGTATATGTTTACTATCTTCTTACTTAACTAAATATAAACACCCATGACGGCAGTATAAACATTCGCGCTTATCACCCAAATGAATGCCCCCAGCAGGACTTGAACCCGCAATCGCTGGCATAGCAAGTCGTATTACTAAAACCTCAAAAGCTCAAAGTCAAATTGTTAACAGTAAATTAAAGTCATACCGTTTATGTCCATGTCTTTGTATAGCACATTCCCTCTGTTGAATATGATTTTCTACAATATTTGTTTTCTCTTTTTCCATATCAATGCTTGTGTTGCTCTGCGTAATTATAATTTTTGGTAATTGCTGCGAGAGACGCCTTAGTCTCTCAGATCTCACAGAATTTAAGCTTTCATTTGAAATTAGCTCATTTTCAACTTTAAAGTCTATATCATGGTGGTCAGGTGTATCACTTGCTCTTTTAGAATCTGCCATAACATGTAAATCATTTCCAATTTTTTTCTTAACATCTTGTATAGTTTCGTAATCAGGATCGATATCTTCTTTACTTAATAATGACTTATTTTCATCATAATCAAATTTGACTGTTTTCAAATAATTCAAACATTCATCGTATAATTCGTTTATTTGATCAAACTCTGTATCAGCTTTACCTTCCATTTTCACACCCTTGCAATGAATCACTTTCTTCGTCACTAGTTGGAGTGGAATTATTTACGTTATAATACATGCATATTATAATGTGATAGATAAAATTTAAATTTCTTCACATGCCATACAAAATATCTGAAAATAATAACACTATACTAAATAGTAATAACTATAATATAATAATTTTTGAGACGTCTAAAACCTAAGTCTCTCAAGTGACTTTTGTTGTAAAGAATTCGAAACGTCGGAAACCAAAAATCTAAATAAATCCTCGAAAAAATCCCAAATGATACTTTTCTTTAAAATGACAAATTTTCACATCATAAAAACTTTTAGGTACTTACTTTTATATTTCTTATTATTGTCATATTAATGAGACTCACCTCAAAATTTTACCAAATATACGTTTCACTGATACACAACAATGTTTTTAAACGGGAAACTAAACTTCACTAATGAAACCAAGTGACAAGTGATAACGTTATCAGATCGTTATCAGTGCTAATTGCGCGAGTGGAGAGCGAGTACTAAGCGCTTGCCTCTAAGCCGACCTTGTCCGGATGCTGCGGGTTATTCAACGTAAGACGAAATATTTTTTTAACAACTAATAATAAGATTGTTTTTTTTTTTGTGTTATATTCATCATATTTATGTATGTATGCATTGTATTTATGCATTTATGTATGTATGTATATATGTAATGTATGTATGTATTATGTATGTCTGTATGTATGTGTGTGTATGAATGTGTGTATGTATATATGTATGTATGTATGTATGTATTTATGTATATCTGTATTTAGGATATGCAATTGTGTGTAGTAAGTACACCGCCTACCATTTCATATAATTTCTCCTACGCCCTAAGGTTGCCTGGAAGAGATCGCTTATAGCGATAAGGCCGCCTGCTGTGCATCATCTATTGTTTATATCTTCTTTTTGTATATTTATTTGTGGTGTACAATAAAGCATCTATCTATCTATGTATCTATTTCCTTTTTTCAAACACCTAAAAAATATTTATTTACTAAATATTTTTAACTAAAGGTTTTTTCTTGGAAAATATCCATACAATGAAAATTTGAGGTTACAGGTTTTTAATAATAACAGATATAATATTTACTCTAATATACTTTAAGCTACAAAAATTTTGGGCAGACGCCGATATTTCAAAATCTGAATAATAATCTTTTTTGCACAATGTATTATAATAAATATTATTTACAAAAAATTTTAAGTACTACTGACGTGCATGTAAATAATATATAGGTACCTACTACTTACACTCAGTCATAACAATTATCATAATCTATACATATAATAAAATTCTAAGTGAGTCGAATCTGTACATTAAATATTTTTTGGAAAATCTTATTGAAATAGACATTATTATCGATATAGAGGCCGAATCTATAGTTTTTAGATTTTTTGTCTGTCTGTCTGTGACCGCATCACGGAAAACCATTCGAGGAATTTTGATGTGATGATAGCTGGTTATCCGGGTCAATAAGGATTTTTGATTTGGAGATGAGAGCATTCGAAACGTTAAAAGTCAAAAATCAAAATAAAATTGCGAAAAAATTCGAAAAAATATTTTTATATTTAATGCCAGCTGTTCGCGTAAATAAAAGTAAATAGCATAATATCTATACAGATAAATAAAATTGAAGTGTCTGTTTGTAATGTCAAAATAACAGCGTTTTACTAAATGCATATGAAATAATACACGGTACTTAAAGAAAAACACATTTTTTTAATTTTTGTCTGTCTGTCTGTTTGATCCGGATAATCTCTTGAAACGGCTGGAATGATTTTGACCAGACTTTTACTGAAAAATAGCTGATGTTATAACGAGTAACATAGGCTACTTTTATTTTAGAAAAAGGATTAGGGTTCCGCTCAAAAAAATTAGAACGTACCTCGAAATAAAATTACAAACACTTGCAGAATCACTCAAAATGTCACGTGAAAATACGAGTAGTTAAGTGCTCAGTGCCGTCGGTTTGTTTATACAATAGAGAGCGTCTGGTAATGCGATTATATTCAACCAATATATATTCAATAAATTGCGATTATATTCAATAAAGCTTCTAAAGAAGTCCTTCCTTTAAGTCTTACTAGTACTAGGATTGCCATTCACCATTTCATCTGACCTCTTAATCACTTAGCTTTTCCTGTCTTTAAATAGCTTAAAGCTTATAATAAGATTAGTATACATCAGAATTCAACACGTACAATAATGGTTAGATAAAGCGTAATTTTTATCCGTATCTGGGTGTATGTTTGCTACGTACCACTTAACGCTGAAACGGCTGGTCTGATTTAAATGAAATTTAACACATAGATAGATAACCTGGGAAGCGCCTACGAAAGCTCTCGAGCGAAGCGAGAAGTCGATACTACTAATAATGACAATGATGAGCTCATTAAGACTGGAGATGGAAAGTAGGAGGGCTCGAGAATGATATATCACTCTGCATAGCATATATGCTTCTGTATAGTGAGGGTTCAACAATAAATGTCAAATAAAACAATTAAAACTTATGATATATATAATTTATTACGCACACACAAAATAAAGTATGAAAAAATCGTATATAATATTAATTTAAAAATACTAGTACCCTTTTAAGCCTTATTTTAATAATCAAAAGTAAAATATCGGAAATTTTATAGGATTTACGTATATTTTAATAAATATTTGAAAATGTATATTATCATATATTTTCATTATACATATATTTACTTCAAATACATAATATATATATAAAATTTTGTATAGTAAAACGAATAATTCTACAAAAATAAGAACGAAAGTCCGGATTGCTGAGTAAAACTCAGCAATAAGCTACCTCTCTACCCCAGCTTAGTAAAGTCAGCAACAAATAACTTTACAAATAATTCTTTTTAAAAAAAATTGTAATAAGTTACTCAATTAAAGAATGATTTTCACAAAACATAAGACAATTAACGATATACGTAGTGTAATAATGCTAACTTTTAGATTCATACGTATTGCAGTTTTAGTACTTATCCATATAGAATTTAAATTTAAAAATTAAGTTTTAAAATAACATTTTTTTAGTTATATCCATTAATAAGTTATTTATTATGTTGAGTAAATAATCAAATTCAATAAGGAAACATATTATATAACTATTTTAATAGTTTAAGGCTTAAAAGGGCTATGTATGATAATATAAATAAACTATATTTTAATATAGTATAATAATAATATATTCGACATATATTTTAAAATGAATATTTCTATGTACAAATAACAAAATCTCTATTTTAGTGGCAGTTTCTATTTGTATTCGCTATGAATATAATGCACTATACATTTTATTTCTATATTAAGGCTTATATGATTTTTTTTATAATAAATTAAATAACTTTAAAGGAAGAATGGAGCAGTTATATTAGACTCACTACTGCCTACGGATATGCTTACTTAAATAATATAATTTGTCAACTAACACACATTATACAAAATTACGTAAACATGAATTGAAGATGTTTCGCCATATTTTATTTTTAACAGCCTTATAATAAATATATTTTTATTTATTTACTGGTGTTGTTTAAATTTTAGATTTTCAACAAAGGTTTGAGTTTGTTGAGTAGTCTCTAGACTAAATGTCCAGCAGCCACGTCGCGCCATCATCGACGTCGATCAATCCTTTATTCCCATATTGATATATTAAAACATAGATGCACATTTCCTAACAAATATCTCTTCAACAAATGGCGTCAACATGTGACGTTAAGTCAAAGAATAAAATTCAAAACAATAAAGTCTAATTGTCTAAACACAAACTCGAACTTACGCACACCACAGGCACATGAATTACGGCTTTAAATGAAACAACGTGCGTTTTAATTTTATTGTCCGGAAAGCAATGAACAAAAGAGATTTGGAAAAAGCGCATAATTTCGAATTGTGCACTTCTTTTTGTGGACACTTTTGAGATGCTAATTGTCTATCTTAAACTTGTCCAAAAAATGGTTTTCATTTTGGCTGGAAATAGATTTTAACAAAGTAAACCTTTAATAGTATAACTATGAGAATGATATTTATTTTTTCATACTGATAAAATATTTATACTTTTAAAAAATGTTTTACACAGATTGATATTTCTATGACAATCTAAAATTACTAAGCAAAGTGAGCAGTACCCGCGGGCAGTAAGTAGCCAGATATAATAATGAAAATAGAGCTATCTATATATACTCTACATCAACTATTGTCTATAGTAGTTAAAGCGCTTTCTCGCTAGTGTTAACTTCTATTTTGTATATTATCTTTCGCATTTGCATTTATATGACTATCATAACATATTACAGATTTAAATCCACCGGATTGAAGTTATAGAACTTGTATTCAGCCCTTATTACCATCCCACTGCTGGGCGCAGGCCTTCCTTCATTACGAGGAGGATCAGGCCATAGTCCACCACGCTGGCCAAGAGCGGGTTGGCGGACTTAACGTGTCTTTCGAAAACTTGAAAGGTTCTCTCAGACACGCAGGTTTCCTCACGATAATTTCCTTCACGGTAAGGCAAGTAATAATCATAATCATGTTAGAAATAATTCGCACATGAAAATATCAGAGGTGTGAGACCCGGGATTTGAACCCGCTTCACTCGGTTTTCCAAGCAAGCATGCGAAAAAACATATTTAAATACCAGTAGAATAAAATCTGCAATATGTCATTAGCTTTTAGGAATCAGTATAAAATATTTTTAAAATTATATATTCCGGAAAATTTACTTTTATTTATATTTTTGAAATTACATATACATTTTCTAGCATCGATCCTACACTTATGTTTCTATTATAAAACAATTTAAAGTTAAAGCAGAGAGATATATTATTTTTATCATAAAGATTATTTAAATCTCTACATATAGTGTAGAGTGTATATTAAGAATTTAAAAGTTTAGGCTTATTTTCTAGCTTGTTCATTTGAACACGAGTGTAAAACTCAAATTAATGAGGAAAATACTCTTTTAATTTTGGTACCAGCATATTGAATTCGCTTTCTAACTTGATCTATACAACGAAATATATATATTTTGATATTATTTATTATAAGATTGATTGAAAATGTAATTTTATTATATATTTATATTATAATACTTTTTATCTAGAAATAGCTTTTTCTTGTTATAAAATTTTTGGAACCTATAGTATAAATGTGAGGCAAGAAACTACAATTATTTATACTCAGCAAGAGTTGTGAAGAAGTGAATTAAAATGTTTTAAAAGTACGATAATACGACATTGTCTCAAGTATAAATACTTTGAAAATTAACAACAAATGTAGATATCAACAAATTTCCCAATTATATATCATATATAAACCTCCAGGCTTGTTTTAATATGCAATAATTATTTAAGTAACAAAAAGTTAATAAAAACTAACAAAAAATAACTTTTTATTATTATTATAAAATTAAAATAAAAACATGAATGTAGAGTGTACTTGCTCAATATTTTAATTAATTTTTCATTTCTTTTAGCTCATCAGTAAATCTTTGTTTTGCAATTTTGAAAAATTTATAAGTCTTAATCGCATTTTGTTGTCGATAATATATTTAAGAAAAATTGGTTATCCTAAGATATAGAAGAGAATGCCAAAAATATTGCCATTAATATTATATTTTCTATTGGAATATAAGTATTGTATATATTTTTGAAGAAATTAACTAGCTTATCTTATGAACATTATATTTTTTTTACAAAAATAAGCCAATCCTGATTCAGCATTACTTAAAAAGCAAGTAGATTATTTCTGAAAAACTTTTCATAGTAAATTTTTACTTTTATCATAATAATACTATGACATAATAATATTTAATGTAGGCATAGCGCGCCATTTGTCAAATTTTTATTCATTTAAAATTATAAAGATTCACAACCTTTATGTAAATTCCCAAAAGTAAAATTTTCAGAACTTTAGTTAAATTAAATGCATCGTTATATTATATTCATTATTATACACACTATTATATGTTGGCTTTATAAGACACTAAATAAAATAAAATAGAAAAAGGAAAAAAGTAAATAAAAGAAATTATTTAAAAAAAATAAAAATACATCCATTTATTACCAATATAATATAATTTATAGATGAATTTAAATAATTTATAACATAGATTAAAATCTATTTATTTAAAATCACAACAATAGGTAAAGTATACCGTCTAGTCTCTCACTATGTATAAGTATGTATGTATATGCTTATTTGTATACGACGCCTAGTCACTTATGTAGTAATGTATTTTAACTTTCCTTTGCTTTGTTATTTATTTTAATAATAAATAAAAAATATTAAAAACTTCATTAAATGAATGAATTAATTACATTTTTAATATATTTTTTTAATAATAATATTGAAAATTTTATTAAATTAATTACAAAAAATATACTTTATTCAAATGGACTTTTACAAGCTCTTTTGGATCATCAATTTTACATTTTAAATTTAAATTAAATGTCAGTGTAGTCAGTCCGTGAGGAATCTACCATTTTATACATTTATTATAATGTACGTATAACATTATGCGTTAACACTTATTATGAAACATAGTTTTTGAGTTATAACTATTTAAAAAAATTATAATATTTATTGAAAAATTAAAGTAATAAAAATAAATAACAAAGCAAATAGGAAACAACAAATGGTTAAAAATCACAATAATGTCAATAAGCCTCAATAATCCCTACATAACGCGTTTTAAAACGCCTCCAGTGTTTATACACTGTAAATGTCACGCGGAGAGATACCGGAACTTCTGAAAAATTAAAAATAATATTATAAACAAGTTTATATTTAATTAATAAACATATTTAAAAAATGTTACGGAAACAATAGAAAAGTATTTAAAAATGTAACTGTAAGAATATTATTTGTATAATACAGGCTAGAGGAATCCTATAACATTTTAACATGACTATTACTAAAATTTACATATACGAGTATGTATCAGGAACTGATCAGACAAATTAATTTATATTTAATGATTACTCACAAAAATAATAATTTTATAGCAAATTAATTTTAAAACTTAGTTAACTAAGAGACGGTAGAGTAAGAAAAGTGGTAGTAAGAAATGTTAGAAAAATGCATACCAATATTAACAAGAGTGAATTACGGCTACACGTCAGTTGTGTACCTGGAAATGATTAGTTAGTTTAAGCACTGAGCATTAGTAGAGCTCAGAGGGTGATAGAGCAATGATTGAGCATTAGTAATTTGCTCAATGGGTGACTTTAATCACCTAAGTATTTATTTAAAAAACCAGGTATAGCTGAGCATTAGTCAATTTAGCCAGTTATATGATGCATGCGCAATTCAATGATTAAATGCTGTAATTTTTGGCAATACTTATTTATGAAACATTAAAATATGATATTAATTATGTTTTTGAGAGCATATTAGAAAATGAGAAATTAGCGAAAAAGTTAAGAATTAAAGAAAATATTATAAAATGATTACCCAGGTAATACTGACCTGTCACGAGCAGGCAAGACTTCCTCGTCTGAATCGATATTAAAGAGGTCATTGTGCATGTAGCTTTTATTGGAGTAGCCACCTACGTCCACTGAAACAACAAAATATATATTTACGGGGGACGAAAGAAAAAGTGGTTGGAAATAAAGGAGATAGAGATAGCTGTATCTGCAGATGATGGGGTATTAGCAATAATAACAGCTAAGGAATACATGGAACCCATCACTCTTACTTATAATGTGATTGCAAAAAGATTTTATTCATAAAAGAAATAGTAATGCCGTCCATTTATTATATAAGTTTATTTTAAAACTAAAACGATAAATAATTTTAATATTTCCTTGATTTGTAATGTTTAAGCTGTTTTATGTTAATGTCAAAAGTACGATAATTATTATTATAAGTACTAGGTACTTGTTCTAAGTATAAGTCCATACAGTTGGCACTAAGCCATGCGCTATGTGTCACGCAAACCTGCAATGGGGTATTCCCCTTTTAGACTGCTTTTACTTTAAATTTTTAACTAGAATGCTGTCCTATTTGGCACTTATCCTATTTTCTATGCGATAAGATTATAAATATAGTTTTGAATTATGTATGTGTTCTACCATTTTTCATAATATGTTACTTCATAAATTAGTTCAACTTTTATTTTTGTTCTTTGTTATATTATTTAACTATAAAAATATTTATGATAGTGTTTTTTTTCTGAATTTTAATTATTCTTAAACATTAAATACATTTGAGTCAATTCCTACAAAGTTATTTTCAACAAACAAAATTATGTTGATTCCCAAATAAAGCGGTTATCGTTACTATTAATTAATATGATTAATTTACTTGGGAATTCGTGAGATATTTTAAAACTAAAATTTTGATTGACTTAATTCAGTAGCATTACTCGTATTATCAGATGCAACAAACTATCTCTACAAAAAAAATTATCCGACTGCTGCAGAAAAATGACATGTGAAATTGTTGTAAATCCAGTAAACCAATAAATATATGAATATGTGTTCAGCCCAGTCTAGCAGTCCCACTGCTGGGCGTAGGCTTCCCTTGAGTATGAGGAGGGTCAGGCCGTAGTCCTCCCAGTCCATCACGCTGACCAAAGGCGGGTTGACGGACAAACCAATACATATACCTATAATATTAGTTACAATAAAATCTTTCTACTTTTATATCTGTGTGTATGTATTGTATGTGTGCGTAATAATTTGTGTATATTTGTCACTTCTTCACGCTGAAACGGTTAGACGGAATTGAATGAAACTTAGTGTACATATAAACTATGACAGGGAGTAACATATAGGCTTCTAGGCGCCAGAGTCAAGCAAGGATAAACTAGTTAATTAATATATTCTACGTGACATTGGCGAAGTAATCTGTGCTCAACTGGCACGCTTTGAAGCCAACAACAAGAGAATTGAATTGAATTGAAGCTATATAGATATAGCTATAAGTTTCTTACCTTTAGTACTATCATCATATTTAGAATCTGCCCACTTGTAGTCTGTTTCGGAGTAGAGAGGCGGCAGGGTCTGGTGCGGCGTCGGGTATAAGTCCAACTTGCGTTTCTCGTGCAAGCTGTCTGTGTCGTTAAATGATGGCATTCTGGAAAGTTACAAAATTATTATATTATATACTACATACAAGTGTTTTGGAGTAATGAAAACGGATTTAAAATACAAATTTGGCAATTTTTTAATCGGATTAAATGATGAGGACTTTAGTACAAATTCAAAATTCTAAAATAAACTATGTTTTCGAAGTTTATCTTGTTTTTTTTTTAATATTTTTTGATACACGATATTTTGAATTATATTGCGTTTCCCTAATAAATGTCTAGTACGATAGATTAAGTTTATTTCATTTTTTGGAATTAGAAACTTCTGCACTTAAAAATCGTTATGGCCTGAAAAATCCGTTAAATCACACGACTAGCTACAAGCGATATTTATGGCTTCAATAAAAAACATGACATATTTATATGTATATGTATTTATACCTACTATACCATAAAAAAATCATAATTTTAAAATTCCTTTTGCATTCAATCAGAAATTCCTTTTTTTTGTTTAAAAACCAATAAAAACATACTTTATACATTACAAGTTATTTGGTAATTAAAAAAAAAAAGTAAAAAATAACTGATTGGTAGTTTTCATTTACTATACATACCTAATCAAATATTTTCGAAGTCGGTGTGCTTTGCTTTGTATGGGCTGGCACCGATTTCGAAATTATTTGATTAGGTATGTATTTAATAGGTAGGCTTTAATTACTTAGCCAAAGCACACCGACTTCGAAAATATTTGATTAGGTATGTATAGTAAATGAAAACTACCAATCAGTTATTTTTTACTTTTTAGTGCTTTTGTTTGAAGTCGGTTTTTATTTTTTTGTTAAAAAGTTTTTATTTTTCCCTTTTTAGTGTAGACAGTTGTAGCAAAGTAAGAATTCTAAAGTGTAAGGCTTGTCAAACCAAATAAAATAAGCCCAACTCAAAGTATCTACTATTAGTCGTTGAAGAGTTCCACCTATCCACCTTCTGGCCTTACCATCAGATCAGATCAACAATACCGAACCACTGTACTATCAACGGAAATAGAAACACTTGCAAAGTTTCAAGTCAATATGACAATTAGAAGTAGGTTAAATTAATTATTAGCTATTTTTCCACCCTTTGGGGTGGTATTTTTTTTGAAATTTAAATGGGACCAATCTGGATGTATACCCTTTCAAACAAAACAAAAATTGTCCAAATCGGTTAATAAACGACGAAGTTCTGAGATAACAAACATAAAAAAAAATACAGTCGAGTTGAGAACCTCCTCCTTTTTGAAGTTGGTTGACAAAAGGTAAAGTTAATTAATGTAATTAATTAAGTTAATATAAAGTGTCGTTTTATTGCGGAGTTCCTATGGGCACCTTCCAGCACCAGCATCAGACCCGGTTACGATATAGGATCAAAGTACTCGTGAATGAGATTTACCTACTATTATCAGGTTACTCTAATAGCCTGAAAGAATTTGACTATCGGTCTACATTGAAAAAAAATTCTTTTAACTCCTAACTGTTGAGGAGTTATTGAGAACCTCCTCCTTTTTTTGAAGTCGGTTAATAAGAGCCTGAAAGAATTTAACTATCTGTCTATAATTACGTATAATATTGAAAGAATTTTCTTTTAACTCCTAACCGTTGAGGAGTTGTACCTTCCATCATTAGCTCAACCACAGGAGATGATGATTATCAGACGCAAATACTTGAACAGCTTTTGGAAATATATGAAAAACGTAATAAGTGCCTATAAAATTTGAGAGTTGCCTTCGATTTCCCTGGGATCCCACAATCAGATCGTGACTTGGTGACTATGGGACTAACTAGAAACTATACCCTTCAAACAAAGAAAGAATTTTACAAATCGGTCCAGCCATCGTCGAGTAATCGGGGAACATACATAAAAAAAAGTCCCCGACGAATTGAGAACCTCCTCCTTTTTTTGAAGTCGGTTAAAATAGGTAAATGCGCAAATGCTGTATTGATACAAAGAAAATGATTCACGTAGATAGAGATATTGAGATAAAGTCAAGTAAACAGTGATAACATTCCCGATAACATATCGTTCATATAACTGACTAACCTATCATTTACATATTAAATTATTATAATTTGTAAGCATTATGTGAGTTAAATGTAATAATCTCTTTAAGAAAAATCTCAAGTTCTATATAACACACCTTATATTATCCTATAAACTATGTATTGAATTTTATTATTGTTGAAAGTTTCATAAAGCTATCATAGTATTGTATGTTCTCTTACCAATAACACGTCATACTGTCGACATCTTTTAAAATTTTTCTAAATACAAAAACTTAATTAAGAGGGCATAGAGATTTTTATTTTAGTACGACGACAGCGGGCAGGGGAGAGGGGGGGGTGACTAGGATGGACGGAACACGTGCGAATTTAGGTATTTCCTTCGTATTATTAAAACAAATACACATTTTGAAAATGTAAAGTGTATACGATATAGAAAACGTATAGTTTTGTTATTATTAAAAAAACTTCCTTGAATTATTTACGCCGCACTAAGGGTTTATTTCTTTTTTAGAGATCATTTTGGATTTTTTTTATCGAGGAATAATAATAATTAATAATAATAATTGCATAATTAAAGTTTTAGTGATAACAATACAGCAAGGAATCAAACGAACGCAATTATTTCGTAATTGCCTCGGTGCACCCCTAATACATTAATGAGATTATTTTGATTGTAGCTTATGAAATGAAATTAAACGTTATTCAATTCGACTTATACAGCACTTTTGATTCGTCAATTTAATTGAAAGAGTCAGTAAGTGAAAAAAGTACCGCCATCTCAAAAAGCAGTTCTGCTGAGTAGAGCCGACGAGAAACTCAACAGTTGCTCTTTTAAATATTGAGTTACAATTTTTTAATATAATATTATGATGTTCTCCTGATCGATTCTGGCCATGGTGGCCAATCTCATTGAGACTAGCCAACTGCGCTGGAGATATTATAGTGCACAAGTGTACGCGCGTACACTAAACACAGACACAGGTGCACTCTCTATTCCTGTCACTCTCATACTCCGGTGGGACGACTGCTATAGGCACGGGGGTGAAACACCACCAACTTACCAACTCCGGGTTGTTACTGAGGCTTACTATACAGAAATACTCAATAACTAAACTTGGCCCGACCCGGGACTCGAATCCAGGACCTCCGGGTGTGCAGCCGTACATGCTAGCCACTACACCACCGAGGCAGTTAATAATATTATAATTAGGCCGCATATGCGTCAAAATAAATTAATTCCACACATTTGCATTGGCAAGAAACTCTCGAACAGAGTAAATTTTACCTTTTTCGTGACATTCACCATTTTTTCTTTTTTTTTAATGGGATGGGATAGAATGTACGTAAGGTCATTTACCTAGTATAGGTTGCAAAGCAGCTAAACCTCCACAATGCGAAGGCCAGCATGCTCATAGAGATGACAACTCCTCCCGCGATCACCAGCCACACTGTGAGCACTCCACGTTCGTTGGGCACTTGGTATTCCTGGAAATATAGTATAGTATTGGAAACCAAATTGCATAGGAATAAATAAATATGAACGTCTGTATATAATTCTTACTAGTATTTTAAATATGTACATTTGCTTGTAATTTTTTCAGATAATTTTTTTTCAAATTTATTAGGATGAAGAAAGTACAAATTTAATAAGAATTTGTAAATTGTCACAAATATTTAAACTAAATAAGTCTTAGTTTAATTTATAATATCCAGCGATAGGAAGTCGTCCCAGACTTAGTGTAGCCAAATTATGGATCTCGACAACAGTGCCAACTATCGGTTCCAACCATAGCTAAAAACCAATCAACGGACTAATAATAATTTTTTCATCCATTAGAACACAAAAAATAAACACCAAAATCAGTCAAGGCGCTAAAAAGAAGAAGAATTACGAACACACACACACTTTTTATATATAAAAAATATTATGTATGTTGTATGTTCTTCGGACAATACAATTAACACACTGCACCATCTCGTTCCATGGTAAGCTTCGTAGCTTACTGGCTTGTGTTATGAATAGCAGAAAGTTGATACACTACACATATATGACTTTAAATACATACATAATATTATTAATATAAACACCCATGACTGTAGTACAGACATTCGTGCTCATCACACAAATGAATGCCCCCAGCGGGACTTGAATACGCGACCGCTGGCACAACAAACAATCATGTCAAGTCACTACAAACTGAGCCAAACGTGATGTTATTATGAATATCTCTCATTAAATCAACATTTTAATACAAACAAAAAGAAGCTTTTCTGCAACATAAAGAAGAAGAAACAAAAGCCGCAAAATCAAAAGTGAAAAGCTCGAGACTTCGCGAAACAATTCTTTCCCTATATTACACCTGCGCTATTCGTATATAGACTACCTCTATACGCCCTAAAACCATTGTTCATACTTAAAGAGAGCATACGTTTATTCTTGAAGTAAATTGTAAAAACTGTAAGCACTATAGTATAGTTATAAGACTCAATAGCCATTAGCTGTATTATCCTACAAGTATTTCACTATTTCATACCAGAGTACTATTATATGTGTATATTTTTGTTAGTCCTTCTCACTGAAAAAGCTGGAGCGATTTTTATAAAATTTAGTACACAAATAGTCTATGACCTGGTGTAAGACATAGCGTAGCCAGGTAACTAGTCAAGGCAGCTAGCTAATTTTAGTCTTAGGTAGCGAAGCACACGAACGAAGCGTGATTAGCCGCTAGTATAGGGATAAAGGATAATTACCGTTATTCCCAACATCCTGAGCCTTACAACAAAAGGATCCCGTTTCGAGTAGAAATCCCACATCTCTCTCAAATCGTTCTCATTCAGTCTGGCTTCTTCTTCTTCCGTTACATTTTCGTAGACGAGCGGTATTCCGAACCTTACTTCAGCGCAACGCTCAAATTTAGGCCAGTTGTGGTAGCAAAGTGCTTTACTAGTGATTTGCGTCATTTCTAACCTGCAAAACATATTAAATATTAATATTACACCCTTTTCCATATGCCTCTATATAATCATATAGAAATGTAAAGTAAGATGTAGACGTATTGAGTGGAAATACATTGAATTAATTTAGCTAAAGTATTAATTTCTTCTACTAACTCATCTTTGATTCGTATACCATATTTTTGTAATATACTGATATTATTAATGAATCACCTAATTTGCCAGGATCGATGAAAGCTAATATTATTTAAAAATTCTAACGTTAAGTACATAATCTCTGACATAAGCTTTCCCTCTTTATAATTGAAAGTTTTCATTAAAGGCTCTTTCCAAACTGATAACAGATTCTTATCAAAACAACATGACGTTCTGTAAAAAACAGTTATATTTGATATTAATGGTGAATACTTTTTCAACCGATTTCCTCAAAAAGGAGGAGGTTCTCAATTCGACTGTATCTTTTTTTTTATGTTTGTTACACCAGAACTCCGTCATTTATTAACCGATTTGGAAAAAAATACCACCCCTAAATGTGGAAAAATAGCTAATGATGAATTTAAACTACTTCCAATTGTCATATTGACTTAAAACTTTTCAAGTTTCTATTTCCGTTGATAGTACAGTGGTTCGGTATTGTTGACCTGATCTGATGGTAAGGCCAGAAGGAAGTTAGGTAGGAACTCTTCAACGGCTTATAGTTACTTTGAGTTTGGGCTTATTTTGTTTGATTTGACAAGCCTAGCACGTTAGAATTCTTACTTTGCTACTACTGTCTACACTAATAAGGGAAAAATAAAAACTTTTTAACAAAAAAAATAAAAACCGACTTCAAGCAAAAACACTAAAAAGTAAAAAATAACTGATTGGTAGTTTTCATTTACTATACATACCTAATGAAATAAATTCGAAGTCGGTGCCAACCGATACAAAGCAAAGCACACCGACTTCGAAAATATTTGATTAGGTATGTATAGTAAATAAAAACTACCAATCAGTTTTTTTTTTACTTTTTAGTTCTTTTGTTTGAAGTCGGTTTTTATTTTTTTGTTAAAAAGTTTTTATTTTATGTAGAATATACTAAGTTTTAAAGTACTATAGTAAATATTTTGACGACACGTTTGACTCAGTTTGTAGTGACCCTACTTGCTATGCCAGCGGTCGCGGGTTCGAGTCGAGTTCGAGAGAGGCAATTTTGTGTGATGAGCACGAATATTTTTACTTCAGGTGTGGGTGTATATATTTTTATATGTGTGTATTTAAAGTAAACAATTTATATACGTATGTGTAATGTATCAACTATCTGGTATCCATAACTCAAGCCTCGTAGCTTACCATGGAACTAAATGGTGATGTGTGTTAATGTCCCAACATATACGTTTTTAGTGACTTTTTGACCGATTTTAAAAAAATATTTAAAACATAAGAATGTTAATGTAAATTAAGTAAAAGTAAAACTTGATTTATTCAATATTTAAGATACTTTTCTTTCATGTTCCGTTCGTTTGTTCCATCCTGTATATATTTTTTAACTATTTGTATAATTAAGAACAGTACTTAACATAATATACGACATATATATGTATGCAGTCTATTCACTGGGGATTTCTGTTTGAGAGGACACTTACGTCATGTAATTAGCTATCTGTTTAGTTATTTAGTTTTTGTACGCAATTGTTGCTTTGAATTCCATTACATTGTAGCTTCATATTATAGACACCTACTATATATACAGCAACGACTTTAGATCATAAGTATTCCAGCGTATTTATTACTTACATATTGTTATGAATTTTGAATTCAAATATTAATAAATTAACTTCAAAATTAAAGTTCAACTAGCAACTGTCAAAGTTCTTGACAATCGTTTAATATATCGCGTTTTACGTATGTATACATGAAATTTAACTGATTTAAAAATCTTTTTGATTAATGTCCAATTCAATTCTATGTTATTATTTAATTTTCAATACTATATGGAAGCGCAGAAAACAGTGCAATTAAATAAAATTATGCAACTATATATTAAAAAATATTTAGACAGGGAATATAGAGAAGGAAACAAACTTTTACTTTAAATGAAGCTTGGAGAAGTAAACTCTAACTTTTCAAAAAGATAGAGCCATATTGTGTTAGAGAGAGATACTACGGTTATATTTAATTATGTTTAGTTTAATCATAATCTCGGCTCTTATATGTACTAAATCAGCTCTATCTCAAAAATGCAATCCATGTCTTTGCCAAATTTATCAAAATTTGTTTAAGCGAGATATTTTTTTTACAAATTGACAGACGTAACGCTTATTATATTTACAATATTATACGAGTATTATATTTATAATACATATTAATGTAAATATAATAAAACAGTCCTGTTAAAATCCGATTAACAGAACAAAAAAAAAATAGCTTTACATGGCCTAATGGACACATTACCATTAAAAAACCTATATTTGTATGTGGGTGTGCATATAATATGTATATTATGTACTTCTGCTCGCTTAAGTACAACGGAATGGCTGGACGAATTTCTTATTGAAATTCGTTTAATAGTATATCTACTATTAAACGAATTTCAATAAGAAATTCGTTTTCGCGTTAATTAGAACGCGTAAACTCTATCGAGTATGACATGGAATACATATTATGTTGCTATTAATAATAAAAGTAGAAAAAGATGGCGCTGTCTAAATATAATATTATAAATACAAGAAATACTAAGGACCTCACCCAAGTGAAGCGATGGTAAGTCGCTAATCTCATAATATGCTAATAATATTATAAATGTGAAATTTTGTGAGGATGGATGGAATTTTGTTACTCTTTCACGCCAGAACGGCTGAACGGATCTAGACGAAATTTGGTCACAGAGATAGATTATAGTCTGGAATAACACATAGATTACCTTTTACTCCAGAAAAAGGTACGGTTTCCGTGAGATAGATTTGTTTTTGAAGGGATGAACCTGAAGCGAAGCGAGGGTGAGTCCCTCGTTAATATCATAAATACGAAAGTTTGATGGGTGGATGTTTGTTACTCAATCACACCAGAACCGCTGAACGAATCTGGATGAAATTTGGCATAGAGATAGATTATAGCCTGGAATAGCACAAAGGTTTTATCCCAGAAAAATTTACGGTTCACATGGGATAGATTTGGTATTGTTTTCACTAGAGATGAGTCGCTAGTTACTTTAAAAAAAATATATTCCAATGTAAAACTTTAACGGTGTTATACTTTAACTATTATGTGATCTATACACTACTTTCATATTGCTAAAGTCTATAAATGGTTCCGTTAAAATTTAAATATTCATGTGCTATGTATTAGTTGAGACTTGAGTGTGTCTGAGGACTTGACTGGCACTCGAAGTGGCGAACTGATTATATTGAATTAATACTGATAACACGATAACATTTGCTGTGATACTCACAGATATTAAAAAGTATAAACATTTTTCGATTGATTTATTAATTACTTTTTAAAAAAAGTTACACTGCCTTCCAAATCCTTTAAAGATCATTTTTCCATCCTTCTTTTTTTTTATTCATAAGAAACCATGCTTATATATAAATTGTCTATAAAAGAACTAGCGCCTCACCCTCGCTTCGCTCGGATTCGTCTCTAGAAAAACAAAAAATAACTATCTCACGGAAATCGTGCATTTTTCTGTGATAAAAAAAAGCCTATGTGTTATTCTGATGTATGAGCTATATTATTGTAAAAATTTTATTAAAATCTATTCAGTACTTTACGTGAACAAGAAACAAACATCCATACATGTAAATATCCAGACTTTCATAAACCCTCACAAACATTCACATTTATAATATTAGTAGCATACTTTCGGGTTTCGAATAAATACCTTTCCTTTTTGAAGTTGGAAAAGCAAGGAGTCAAACAATCTGAGTATACGTTTTTTTTTTTGTATTGTACAATATTTTCAAAATACCTTTGTATCTCAATGTAAATAGGCGAAGAAAAACAGTTCAGTACCTTTTTCTCTTCTGTTTGTCAACCGATTGCCTTTTTACTTTAGTGGATATTGACGAGCTTTATTGTTATCAATGAAAAGTATATTATGGTAGAATTTCAAATTTAAGGTTTAATCTTTTATTTTTGTATTAATGAAGCAATTAAATTAGAAACGAGATGGTTGAATACCTTGATATGCCTTCTCCATACAATTTCTAGATTCCTTTTAGTGATAACGATAGTGAAATGTCATCTTGTCTAAATCCTTTGCTTACAGTCTGGACGTTACTTGAGGGCGATGTTCTTATCAGCAAAGTGAAATGCACCGTCCAATTGGATGGAAAATTGGAAATGGAATCCGTACTAATATTTATTTAATATTATAAATGTGAAAGTGTGTTTGTTTGTCCTTCTTTCACGTCAAAGCTGAATGACGGATTGGCGTAATTTTTTGTGTGGAGATAGTTGGAGGGCTGCAGAGACATAGACTCATACCCCGGAAGATTGTCGGATACCCCGGAAGAACCACACAAATCGGGCTATTCTTCGGGTTGTTTACTTAAATAGACAAGAGATGGCATCGATCTGCATATAAATATATATGTACCAAAATATGTAAAGTATATCTAATACTTGAGCCATTTTAAGCCGAAATAAAATCATAAATGTAGGAAGCGTGATCTCTGAATACGCGATATAAATCATAAACTAATTATAGATTTTTTAATATCAGTAAAATTGAAGAAAATACAAACTTTAATGAATGCATTCTATTAAAGCTATTTTATTTCTTCGCGATGAGACCTCATGCTATTAGTATCTACATTCTACACAAAATATATATAACTTATACATATATAACTAAAGCCATTACTCTGCTGTCTTTAACTACGCACTATACGTATCAGTAACTTTTCACAAATATTGATAAGTTTTACGACGATACCTTTGGCTTAGTTTGTAGTGACCCTACTTTCTGTGCCTGCGGTCGCGGGTTCGAGTCCCGCTGGAGGCATTCATTTGTATGATGAGTAGGAATGT